TTGTCCAAAATTACATAAGCACGTTTTGTACATGCAATTTTACAAAGAGGAAATTATTTGTGGTAATTTTTTCAGATTTATATAATTGTAATAAATTTAATAGGTAATTTCTTTTTAGAACTTTTTTTTCTTTTATTTTTAAATCCTTAATTTTTGAAATACTTTTAATGGTCCATCATACACAAGAAAAATAAACACTCACTGTGTTGAACCGTTAGGTATATTGTCATTAGGTATATGTATAAATAAAAAAGGATTTTATTGGTTATTTATAATTTAATGCGATATAAATTTACAAGGCTAAGTATTATGTGTGCAGTTCCAATATTCTAGATACCTACATGCGTTTTTACAAAGTACCTATCGACTTGAACAATAAATAAAAAAACAAAAAATTTTTACATTTTGTACAGTTTTTGGCATGTTTGCTTTGCACGCTATATTGCAGTAAGTTATTTTTTTAATTAATTTAGGTTTGATGTATTTAGTTTATACTTTCTGCATGTCGTATAGACACTATTATTGGTACTATAAAAACCGACATTATAAAACAAGAATTGGAAATATTTTATTTTCATATTATACAATACGTACATCCGTCTTATTAAATTTTAAAGTAAAAAAGCTTTTAAAATCCTGACGTGATGATGACCTCATATTACAATATGTGACGATTACGCTATAATGGGCCTAATTGATGCTTGAGCTAATTAAAGCAAACTCCAACAGATTTAGTAACATTCTCATTGAATTTGTCCCAATGGGGATAAATATTTGCTCAATAGTGGCAAAATAAAAATGTATTTATTTTTCATTCGTATACTCTCTATGGTGTGAGTATCGTTTCGATATTACCCGTGGTAATAGTGGTATTGATTTGTTTTTATGCACCTGTTTTACCGAAACTACTCCACACTATTCAATTTTTGCGACATGAACTTCGTAGCACTTAAAGCAAATCGTCCAAACCACCAATTGATCTGGTCATTTATGGAAATGCAATAAAAAGCAACATAAAAACAACAAATGCATTTTTTAATCAAGTTTTTTTCTTGGAAAATCAATGCTATTCACCAGTGTAATTTAGCAATCTCGTTAGATATCGCGATCTTGATTTTGATGATGATGGTAATAGAGCCGACATAGCAACACTATATAAGTACAGTTGATGATAAAAAAATGCGAACATTTAATCTCATGGAAATTGGAGAAATTGAGTAGGGAAAAAAATATGTATGTGACGATTAAGACGAGGTTTTGCGAAACATGATTTGTCATGTCCTCGACGCCTTAAAACGCAATAAAGAACCCACACGCGAAATCTTCGAAACGGCGTGAGATATTCGAATAATCGTTCCTATAAGTGATAGGTTTATTGAACTTTTGAAAAGAAATCTGGTATGAAATGAGTGTCCTTAATTTGCAGTGATTTCGATTTACAAAGACTGACCCCGAGCCGTGCAGGAAAATGTTTATTAGACACAAACACGTATATCATGTGACGATGTATCGTTTTACATAACGACAAGCAAATTTGCATAATTTGATGAATTTACGTACGCCACTGGAGCCGAACCTATCCATCGAATTTTCTCGTTGTTATTTTAAGTGAAAGCGGCTCGAGCGGCGCGAAAAAATCCCTCGGCTTTCGGCAAAATTTCTAAAGCATCGTCACGATTCGATCCTCAATTTCTAGTTTGTGCGTTTCTCTAAGCAAAAATTTCGACGCCGTTTCAGGGTTGGAACGAATCGCTGAAGAGTTGATGGGTCGGAGGAAATGGAAACTGTACCAAGAGTCCATAACGAGAAGTTATTTGCAACCGTTGAACAACAACGTCAAGACCCAAGATCGCCACGACCAAAAAGACACCGCCACGCGTACCTCATCGCCGAAAAACGACGACGACGGCGTCGACGCCGCGACGGAACCCAAGGAAAAAGAAAACGAAAAGAGCACACAAGAAGTTGAGGACAGGCTCAAGGATTGGACGCCGCAGACGAAGTGCTACTTCTGCGTCGACGGCAAGCTGGATAGTGAACACACGGCACACGGGGTTCTGGTAAGACCCAATTTTCCGACCGATCGGAAATTCCTGCACGGCTGCATGCATTATTATGCGCCCGAAAAGTCAAAGTTGGCGCTTCCGGATGCACCTTGAATCGATACGGCCGTTCCAGTCCCGTACTCGCGAAACTAGAACATAGGTGGACACCCCAAGGTCCCATAATTATCGATAAATCACGCTTCAACGACGCAAAAAATTTAAACCCATACTGTGTCACGTGTGGAGGTGGCTTCGTCGACTTGATCCAATTTGATAGCGCAAATTTTAATTACACGACGCTTTTTCTCGAGAAAAAAATCTGGCCAAGGGCATCTCTAATACTCATTATATGGCAATTATTTTGTAAACTATCTAATAGATTTTTATAAATTCTGTAATTAAACTGTGGTGGGAGGGAACAAAAACTGGTTTTTTAATAGGCTTTTTCGAAGGGGGGAAGGACGAAACCTTGCGATAAGTGCACTCGGAATTGAATTAATTTGTTTTCCCGCCAGGAGGGGATTCGATTAGTGTTCGGACAAGGCGAAGGTGTTGATGAACTGACGCCATTTTATACTAGGCGAATTTGCATATACCCAATACACACAGATAAATGTTTTTTCATTCGATTCTATCTTCTATCCCAAAATAACACAAGAAATTATTAATTACTTGAGCACTTTTTCATTCCAACGTGGCGTTTACCAGGCAGAACTCATAAATTTGTATTTATGGTTATTGCAAAACAATTTAACTCAACGTTTACATTTACTTACTAATAATTAATTATTACTATTTTGTACTTGCATACAAGTAATAATTAATAATCAAGATTAAAGGTAGCGGTTGCATATAAACTTTATTCTAATTGTAATTATAGAATTACTCGAACATAATCCTATTTGTAATCGTTTCATAAACTACTTTTTCTAAGTATGTAATTTATTTACATCGCAGCACCAACTTAATTTTACTAATTCATTTTTAATTAATTTAATTTAATTCGTACTAATTCCAAATTCTCACAAATTAATGTTACTAGGATTTTTGTAAAGTGACTTCTTTAGGTAGGTTAAATGACAAGAATTACGATTACGTTATTACATTATTATTTGAATCACCCTGTATAACATACAGTGGCAACGACCGTACGTACGTATAGAAAAGTGGTTATATTACGATATAGCAGAAAGTACTTCGTACTATACCAATAAAAATTTTAATTATTACCAAATGAAGACGTCAATCATGAGTCCCAGGTTTGAGTCACACTAGCGATGAATATGCATTAAATAAAACCTTGTCGAGGGAAGACGAAATTCTAATTTTTATTTTATTCAATTCAGCGACCATAAAATTATAACATTTTCCAAGAAAGAGAAAATTATATACCCATTGTGCGTAATTCAATTAAACAATTTTTTCCTTTAATATTAGTGCTGCAGTTTTAATTTCTCACGACACATTTGAATTGTTTACTTAATAATATGCTATTTCTATTGATTGTTTTATTATGTTTCGAGTTCTTTTTTATTGGCTAAAGAAACAGAAATAAATCAAAAAAAAATAATTCTGAAATTTCTAACAGTATCAATGATACCGTTAATACAACTCTATTTTATATTTTGTTAACAGTATTACGAACTGTAATTAGCCGAAGAGCTTTAAATTTGACCCGACTTTCTCGCATTTATTTCAAGCACTCATTTCAAAAGATTTAATAATAATAATGGTGCTAATTACCAACACCTAAACAATAATTACACATTTCCCGCAAACAAATTAATCATTCTTGCCAACTGAACCATCAGATTAGATTAGTTTTTCGAAAAAGCTTGACCTTGTGTAATAATCATTAAAAAATCCACACGATTGTGCAATTTCGTCGTGAGACAGTATGGGACGATCGATATCGCATTCAGTTGTTTATGATCCATCACATGTTTTCCCCCAGGTGACTTGACATTCGTTAATTGGTAGTTTTCTTCAGAGTCCCCGCCATTCGGACTCGGATTCGTCTGACAGCCACAGTGACAACGAGGTTCCGCCATCGCTCACTCCCTCGGGGAGCTTGCTCAACAATAACCACCGTCACCGACAGCCGGTGGCACCGGCCAACATGACGACGATCGAGAGCGTCACGTCGATGGCGGCGTTGGCGGCGGCCTTCTCCGGCGGAAACTCCCCGGGAACGACCGCCCCACATCTGCCCTTCTACGCCCCGAGCATTCTCTCCCACAACTGGTATCTCGCCAACGTGGCGAGGTCCTTCCAGGCGGACAGGCTCGGGGACAACCAGGACAAGGCGGCTTCCGGGGAGCAGCCGCTCGATCTCAGCAAGGGGGCGGCGAGCACCGCCACCGAAGGCAAGACGCCTAACAATAACGTCCGGTTGCCCACCCTCGACACCAAGCACATATTCAAGTGAGTATCGCCACAGCACCCAACAAAGAGCAAATAACTGTACAAAACTGTTTTGTAAACGGGTGGGCTAAAAGTACTAAAAGTATACTGGTCTTTGAGAATAATTTATTTTGGACTTTAGCATTTTATATCAATTATTATTTACTGTTACTTTTAATCTCATGTACAATTTGTTGGCAATAATATCGAGAGATCAAGATAATTTGTAATTGAGTCATCCTTGGATCCGAAAACGTATGTCTGTGAAATGTCAAATAAAATGACAAGTCAAAAGGTTAAATAGCATAATCAAAAAGATGATAATTTTAATACCTAACTAAATTTATGATTAACCTTCAAAAAAGAACGGTTCTTATTCGTATACGTCGGCCGTTCCAGCCCATTTTGCCATTCTACCTTTCAACTTGTCATTTTATTTCATGTTTCACGTGCAGTTAGTTCGAAAACAGACATCCATTTTCAGATCCAAAGATGACTCGATTACAAATTATCTTGATCTCTCGCTATAGTTAAATATACGAAAAATATCCAATCTGAAAACTATTGGTTTGAGTTGCTTGGACGAACTAGAAAAAAGTAGAGATATAACGTTTCAAAGTTGAAAATTTACTGACTTTTTAATTTTATTTATATTATAAATTATTTTTTTATTGGGAGACCTAAATCTGACAAGAGATAGAAACAGTGTAAAAATCGCAGCATCCAGAAAAAAAATGTTAAAAAAAAAGAACTTGTTGGTCACGATACTGCACTCAAAATACAAAGTCGAAGAAAATTATTGTATACTTACATAAGAATAAGTAGGAACCTAAATCTCAAAAAAAGATTGTTCACTGAAATTAACAAAAGTTAGAAGAAACATATAAAACATGGGGAAAGAGAACCGATGTCAATTTTTTTATCTTTTTATATTAATTTTAAATTACTTATTACAAATTTTGTGTGTAACGAGAAAATATGAAAGTAATTATTATTATCTATCTCCATTACAACAATTTCTGGATGCTTTTATCTCTGTTACTTCCGATGTATTATATTTGTATACCTACCAATTTCTATATTATATCAAAATGTCAGAAAAAGATTATAGAGGAAAACGTGGTTTTAAAAGTATTATTTGAATCAAAAGCAGAAATTTACTGCGGCGAGTTTTCTTTTTTTTTTAGGTTTTTTATTTCTTGTGTTTGAACCTTGACTTTGATTAACATCAAAGAACAATAAATTTCAGTCCTATAGTTTTTAAATTGCCTTTAATTTAGTATTTACCTACCTACTGATTAAGAAAATCTTAGTCGCTATATTTTATAATTAGATTGACTTGTGTATTTTGTTTTGTGGGCCCCGTTGTTGCGTAATTTCCCTTGTAGGTGACCCAAAAGTCGACTGTTGCTCATCAATTTGACATTTAACATTCGGAGAATTATATAATTTGATTGACACTTTTTTGTTGTGTCTTGGATTGGGTTTGGCCGCTCTGTGGGAATGCTGACTGGGAATGTTTTTGATAGCCCCAGCCAGACGGTTCATGGATATACAAAAATTTTTATCGGTCTTATTTGGTATTAGCGATAACACTGCCACATAATGTTTCCTGTGCGAAATTCGATGCTGTCAAATGACCCATAAACTTACGCTGTGGTTGCTCGAGTCCGGACCCAAAAAAGAATTATGACTAATCGATGATCAGAGTTCCGAGAGCGGATTAAGGAAGTTTCGACCTTACGTCCTTTAAACACTAACAAAATCGTGTGTTTTTTAATGATTTCAGGGATTTTCCGAGAAAAAAAATTTAATTCAACTTTTCTGAGAAAATTATTTATAGTAGTGTTACGTCCAGTGGTAATTTTTTGGATTTTCCTAATAAGAATGATAAAAATTCAATTGTGAAACATAACAGTAGATTTTAACCACGAAACAAGCGTCTCGTGACCAGAAAAAGTACAATTTAATAAATATTGAAATGCATGCAACAAAAATGAAGCGTTGTACATTTCCTGAATAATGACAAAAAAAATTTTTTGCAGATAAATTAATTTTATTTGATTTGATTTCATTTATTAACGCCATTAAATATGCATTTATAATTAATTGTACAAAATGAATTCGTTATTTAAACCTTAGAAAATTAAAAATAAAAAAAATATTTTCTAATGAATTCGTTTTCAAGATGTTGAATCAATGTTATTAGACAATACATTTCTAAAATTTATTTTTTTCTATAATTTCATTGTTTTATTTTTATTATTATTAAAAATATATCGTTTTTGTAAATAGTGAAATCCGTCACAAACAAATAAGACACAGTTTCATAAAAATGGGATCAAGTCTAGACGGCGATAATCCCCATAAATTTATTTTTCGCACAGTGCGATTGTGACACTCGTTCATTCGAAGGAATTCAAAGAAAATGAAAAATAAAATTGCATAAAGATAGCGCAAGTTTGTGACCGATAAACGTATTTGTTTCATTAGGTGGACGTCCCCTGTCCCCTCCGATAGTTGCATTTTAACCATTTTAACAATGTTTTTCATTGGTATTTGTTATTGACCCCTTTTGTGATTAAACCTCTGAGCGAGTTCATTAACTGAATGTTTTTTGTAGTCGAAGAAAATATCTAATTTTAAAACAATAGTCGAGTCGAGAGAGCACTTTGTCCCTCTTCTTCAGATATGGGAATCAATAATTACGTTTTTATTTATGGGAAAATTCGCATTCACCGGTGTTGGAACAATCGAAAAAATTTGGTTTTGAGAAACGAGGCCTTATACAATCCGCCATTAATCTTCCTTCGCTCTATTTGCCGTAAAAAATACGATTGGTGGAGTGATTATTTAGTCTTTGCTATCAGTGGGGTCAATCACTCTGCGTTGCATATGGTCTATTTGTTTTTTATATCTGTAGTACTGTGTTTACCGTCTATGTTTGCAAAAGGCAGTTGCGAAAATAATTTTAGATGCACTTTTTTGCCTCGGCTTCGTGTCAGTGCTACAATTTTACCAACAACCCGTAAGGGTAAGAAATTTCCGCCGAAAAAAATTTCGATTTATTTTTTCGACGCGCAATATGATCTCCCATGGGATAGGTTAGTACACAACGAATTTTATTTTTGTCTTATCAGTTCCGAAAACATATTTTTCTAATCTACAACTTTTATAAACAAGTCGAGTATTTTTTTTGGTGTGACCTTGGCAGTGAGACTTTTTTATCAACAAAACATTTTTTTCACCAACAGATTTTAAGCGATAAGGAGCTGTGTGAAATCGATAAATTACAAAAATTTAAATCGAGTGAAACGTTACTCTGCCTTTTACTTCGTTTCACTGATTTAGATCGGCTTAAAAACTTATTAATTAGTCGATAATCGAGTTAATTCCACACAATTGTTCCAGAACTTTCATACTGAAAAATTTCACTTGACTGACTCTTAAATTCTACTCTGACGCAACAAAGTATTTTTAGGAATTTCTCCTAAATAAACAAGTGACATTTTTTGACTAATCTCAATTCGTTATAAACGCGATTTACGTCACAAAGTACAATTTTATGCACAATGAATATCAGTAAATTTGAAACAGCTGGCCCGTAATCACTTGACTTGATTTATTCTTTTTTTTTGTAAATATGTAAACAATATTTTTTAAATTATCAAAATATTTCAATTAAAGCACATACAGTCCTTTCTTTTGTTTCCTAGGAGGTTGGCCAACGACAGAACTTGAAAATCTCTAAAAATTGTGTTGTAATAAAAAAAAATTCTTAAAGTTTGATTCAGTAACTACGAGCAGGAGCTAATTCATGTATGCATAGCTCGCCCCTGTCGACAACCCTAGCAACGCCTTTTCCAGCCAATCAGACCCAAAGATTTTTAAATCAATCAAAACGATAAATTTATCAAATCTATAAATAATTATAATAATATAATTAAAATTATTTATCTTGAAAATAATTTTCTTGACAATTGGTTTTTAGACCAAGTGCTATAATCTTGTTGCTAAGATAAGATGTAATTTCTTGAATGAGACTTTTGATTAAATGGTTACGGTGGTGCAATGCTGCCCCATGGTAGTTCTTGTAGTTTCGAATTTGCAGCCACCGTTTCGATTAAACTTGTCCACGTGTCGAAATTCCAATTAATCGCGGCGCAGTTTGCACGATTGCGTCTAGCTAGGAGATAATGCACCGTTGCCCTTGTCCCACATAACGATTTTTGCCTTTATGAGAAATGCATTGACATTAATTTCCAACCGACAATTTCGCACGAGCATCACTTGACCAATCTGCAATTTAGCTTTGGTTGCGACATTGTCCGTTCGTATAATACATCTACCAAAAAGTGGTTGATTATCGAACAAACGCACTCACCAAGCTATAATTTCAGTTCTGATTTTAGAGCGAAACCTAGGATGTCAGCTGTAGCCGGTAGGAGGACGTATACCGAAGACGAACTCCAAGCAGCGTTGAGAGATATCCAATCGGGCAAATTGGGAACGAGAAGGGCGGCCGTCATCTACGGCATACCTAGATCGACGTTACGGAACAAAGTCTACAAACTTGCCTTAGAAAGGGAGCGAGAGTCGCATTTGAATAGTACGACGCCGCTCAAGCTAGACGAAGAAGAGGTGATGGAGGACGACAAAGAATTGTCCGGAGCTGAAGAGGAGAAGGAAGTGGAGAAAGCGCTTCAAGCTCCTCTTTGTGATATCTTGAGGTTTTCGAACGTCGAAATACCTCCAGAGGCACTCAAAGCCCTCCTTCAGAAAAATAAGGATGGACAAGAACCTTGGGCCGGTATGGAGCACAGCGAGGTCGGACCTTACATCCAAAACCTTCTCCTAGCCTCCCAAAATCTCCTCAGCAACCAGAAACCTCTCGAAAACTCGGTTCTAAACAGTGTTGTGCCAGAATTCGTAAAACGGCTGATAACGGACGAAACAAAAAATAACGGTGATACAGTGTCAAGGCCGAGTCCGTCGAATTCGGCAGCACCGAAACCCAAATCCGAATCGGACATGGAAACGGAGGAGTCGCCTTCGAATGTGATACTAAAAATTCCGTCCTTTAAACCGACGTCGAGCAAGAACGGATGTGATCTATTCAGAGGTTCAGAAACCGGAAGCATGGTCTCACCCCCGGTCACGAGCGAATCGGGCTCTCCCCCGATCCTCTCCGGCAAAGGCATGACGATTAAAGACGTCAAGGACGTCATCGCTCAAAGCATCAGTCAAAAATTCCAACAGACCTTGGAGCCTCGACGACCTTCCATCTCCGAGATGGACTACAAGCGGGGCGGTTTTACGCCGCCGCTCGCCTCTGGCATCTCCGTCATGAAGACCCAAGACCTGACTCGGCCCTACCAACCGCCCCCGAAGCCCCAGCAAAACCCCGCTCCCACCTCCGGCGGCAAGGGCACTCGCCCCAAGCGCGGCAAATACCGCAACTATGATCGCGACAGCCTGGTCGAGGCTGTCCGTGCGGTCCAAAGGGGCGAAATGTCGGTCCATCGTGCCGGCAGCTACTACGGCGTGCCCCATTCGACCCTCGAGTACAAAGTGAAAGAGAGGCACCTCATGCGACCCAGGAAACGCGATCCTAAGCCCAATCCCGTCGACGAGAAGATCGCTAGTCTTAAACAGAACGACATCCGCGTCCAAGAGAAACTCAAACCAATGATGAAACCCCCACAGAAATTCCCTCCCACGGCGACGTCTCCCAACGGCATCAAACTCCCGATTTTCGAGCCGGGGATGGCGCCGCTCGCCGGTTACAACCCTCCTCCTTTCCCCTTCTGGCCGCATCCTGGCTTCCACCACCTTCCGTTGGAGTACGGACGACCTATACCTCCAAATCCGGAATTTTTCGCGTCGCAGATGATGCAAAAGCTGCAGGAGGAGTCCTCCAGGACTGGAATCACCGGACAAGGCACCACACCACCCAATGCTCCAGCGTTGGCCAAAAGCGCCCGACAAATTGCCGAGTCACTGCTCGACGGGACGGGCTCCAATGGGTCTTTCTTGGACGGCATCATCAGGTCCAGTCTGGAGTCTGGAGTGCCCACCAACGAAGACAAATTATCCAAAGAAGACAAAAACGTCGCCGTTGAAAACCTCTCCAATAAAGCACTTTTAGACCAGCTGTGCAGAAATAGCAGACTGACGCCTCTTTCTAAACCTTCGATGACTTCAGAAACTAACAGCTCGGGAGATGAGTCCTATAGGAAGGGCGCCAGTCCTCTCAATTTCACTGCTGGAGGTGAGTAAAAGTCGATAAAGTCCATCACAAGTTAGGTTTAACCCGAAAAATGTAAGCGTTCTTCAACAAAAAGAGAGCTTCGTTTAAGATTAAAAACAAAGTAGTAAACGCAAAAGCAAAAATTTTATTTTTTATTTTATTAAGCAGGTTAGCGAATATTTATTTTATCACAATTAAAAAAAATGTACAGAAAATACAACAATTCGTTATTGAGTTTCAACAAAAAAGGTAAGGGTAGTTATGAGTTACGACAAATACTTGAAAATAAAAAAAATGTTTAAAGGCAAATAGAAAAATTGTATTTCAAGATTACACATTACTACCTATACTCTATCTCTGAGTGATTTAAAAAAAAATAAACTGAGATTTTAACTAGTTCACTCTTTATATCAATTTTCTTTTATTTATTTAAATTTAAATGAAAAAAAAAGTAACATTTTTTGTTTTTGTATATTTTGTGAGAAGATAAAGTATCAATCTATTTACATAAGTGGAAGTGTATAATTATTATTGCGTACTTTTTATCTTTTTTTAGAGTTTGTTGAAACTTATTTCAATATCAACATCCCTTTTGTTTAACTATTGTTGGCTACATCCACAAACGTTTGTAATAATTTTCGCTGTTACATAATTGGCTGATCAACAAGTGTTTATTTGATTGGATTTCTTTCCGGTTTTGTTCAAAATAAACCAACTGCAAATGCGATTTTTTCCATCATTTGAAATTGAATTGTTTTTGTTTTCAAATTTTACCATGTTGCTAAATCTTTGAGCTATAACTTGGGTTTTGTAGACATCAATTATTTCCGGGTCAAACCTCATTTGTTTGGGCTTCGTGAAATACTTAATCGAATCGTCAAACTGTAAAATTTTTTCCAGCTTCGAACTCGAAAGAGGGTGACATCTCCCCTGTCGAGCTACCCACAATCGAACTGTCGAACGATTCAAACGAATCAACGGAGAAGAAACCGATGATAACGTCGCCGGAATCGTCGACGACGGTGACGACTACGACAACAACAAGCACACCACCGGCTAGGATTTATCTAAAGAAAGATCTGGCGAATCCAGACAACCTTCAGCCCGAGATGCTGATGCGCTTCCGGGACATCCTTCCCGACATGGAGCGTAACGGCATCGGCGAAGGCATCGTAGCAGGAAGTGCCTCAGATAATGACGCGCCTCAAGACTGACACCTAACTATCGTAAGTGAGAGATTTTTATACAAAAAGTACACACAAAAAGATGTGTGAAAATCAAAATTTCGGTGTACTATACACGATTTACGCCCCCAATCCCCAGGAGAACGACGTGGTTGTAAAGTGAATATTCGAGCTCGATGACGGTGTTTGTTGATTATTTATTTTATTTTTTTTTGTCTTAAAGTTTTTTTTAGGATTTAGTGGTGAGCATCAAAGCAGTGATTTGTATATTAGGTGTTTTTTGACTCAAAACAAGATGTATTTATTACTGGGAAAAATTCATACCATTCCGGCTGAACGACCGGGTATCACACCACGTGCCATCCCACCACCATGTGATAAATGTTGAATCTTTTTGCAGGACGTGGTGATACTCGCTCGTTTCGTGATACATGTTTATTGTTCATGTTCGGTGTTTTTGGCATGTACCAAAAAAAATCGTATCATCGGTGTACTCTCTATGTGTCTTCGACGTGGCGTATTATACCTCAAACTTGTATAAAGTTCATGATGTTCATGCATTCAGCTGCTTTGATGAGGACGGTTCATATATATTATATAATATCGAAAAACCCATGGGATTGTCCCAGAATTGAAAAAAATTATATCTATCTGTGATTTATTCAAAATTTTTGATGTATATTTTCTCTAAAAATATCTTAAAATATTATAAATAATTAAAAAATTAAACAATTAGGGAGTAGTAATCGGTTGGCGAACTGACTCGACCCGGATTCAGTTAACCAAACCGACTTTCGTTTAATTCATATGACAATGAAGTGCAATTAGATGGTATATACATAATATATATTTACATCAATATTAAGTAGTATATAAGAATATATAAAAAGTATATTATATATTTCAAAGGAAGCTATTTTGTTCGAGAGATAAAAGATTGACTCAAGGTAGAGTTTAAACGCTTCATTCCCCCCTTCTTCAACAACCGTCAGACATACAACCAACCACTAACCAAACCGATACCGACAGTTAACCGAATCGGCTTGTCCGATTCCTCAAACCAAACAGATTTCTACAGTACACATATTTAAGTTGGACCAATGCAGTTGTATATAATGTGGTATGCTTTACATATCGTTTGGCGCCCAGAGCGCGTCTCCATCCCCCAAACGTGGCGCCTGAGACTCGACCTAGCCGCCAAAACCAAACATTCCAACCATATATGTGCCAGATTTTTTATTCGCGAAAATTGAACAATTTAAATGTTAAAAAACAGATTGTGATCTCGGCCTCTGGCCCTTAGATCATCTCGGAATGCATTTTTTTCGAAGCTGTGAGCTTCCCAGTTCTCGTAGTCCTAAGGTTCAAAAACACTGTAATTTTAAATGTTTGTGTGTTTCACTTTTGCGCTTGCCAATTACAGTTTGGGGGGCCGAGCGCGCTTTTCACCGACTCGGCTCCTACCAAAAATACTCTTCGGCTTGATTGTAGTGTATCAAAATTCCGTAATTCCGCGCGATTATAGTAAAAGGAAAATTTTTCATATACAAAACAATATTCAGCAAGTGTGCCACCGATTTTTGTGCAATTTATATAGCATTTCTTGCATTTCTTATGTGATAATTTGTTACGATAAAGACACTTTCTTTGACTATACGTTTGCTTTTTTCCAAATGTGCGGTCCAAAAACATAAATCTTAAAGTATACGCGTTAAATACACGATATTTTTAGTACGTAAATCTCTTATTACAGGCTTCAAAAGCACTATATAATCAAAAGAATAAAGTTGTTGTCATTTTTTATCATTATTTATTGTTGTTTTATTGAGCAACACATCACGCAAAGCGGGAAACCTTGCCGGAATTAGCAGCGCCCTCTTGTTGCCGCGTTTCTTCGACTTGTTTCGTGTTTTGCGTAGTGTGATTCGGGATTTCACAGATTATCTGAAACGGTACATTTGATCATTCGACAGTTCATTTTAGTACAGTTTATGATAATCGATTATTATTACGTAATTTTTCCTGTTTTTATTATAACTTGTTTGCATGTTAAACTTTATTAAAATGGACGTACTTTTCGTTTTTTATCTTTTTTGCACCAAACGTGTCAGTATTTCGTTTATAATAAAATAAACAAGAAAAACAATAACGGACCAAGGTCTTTTTTAATTAATCGAAATAGATGTTAGATTTATCATTCCACACTATAGCTTTTTCACAACTATAAGACTTCTAATAGTTTCTATGTTATTCCTAATTATTTTTTTACAATAAACACATAATTTTAATGATTTTTTTATATCAACGTATTTGTTAATTAATTTTTAGTTGTGTAGTGTAGTGGAATATTACTTAAGTTTTTTTGCTTTACAACCGTGTATATAGTACTACTGTTTCAGCGCACTTGAATGTTTGTGTGCCTGCAGATTAAACTGAGAACATTTTTATTACAATTGAAACCTCTGAGCAATTTTTGTGTTAATTGGAACAACCATAATACAACAATAGTACACAATTTACCCACATTTAATCACATTGATGAAGAGCGGATTTTACGTAAAGAAAAAGTAATGAAATGATATTTTTATGTATAATGTTGTGTTTGTTATTTATGTTGCAATATGGGTGCGTCATTTTTCATTATCAAAGCACCGCTGTATACGTAAATTGGCGTAAATTCTTGAAATAAAAAAACATTTCTGCCAACATTCGTGATGTTGGTAAGAGTGTGTCGCGACTGGTTCATGCGCTAAGATACAATTTGTTCACAGACTCCCCTGAAAAACACCTTAGATTAATTGATATAAAGAGTGTATACTTAAATAGATGGTAGTTCTTACGCGTCTTTGTTGACAGTTTACAAGTACAAGAGGTTAGGTTTAAATACCCCCACACTATATAGAGTTTTTGTAAATGAGACACTAATAACCAGGTGATGGCACTTAACTAACGTAGTTTAAGATTTTACTTAGTACGTAATGTAAAAGTAGTAGTTTAAATGTAGGGCCCATGCTCTTCATCAATGTGGTAGCAAAATCAAATAGAACAGGTTCAAACAGGTCGTTTATTTTTTTTTCTCAAAACGATGGCATATTCAAAACCGCACTCTACACCACACAAGGTTAACGATTGGCTCTAAAACCAACACCAACAAGTGTCTTCTATACTCGTTTCTTTGTTTGTCTAGTCGAAAATGTGCTTAAAATTGGTAGAAAAAAGTTTTATACAATGTGATCGGTAGTATTGACGAAGACTGAAAAAAATCAAAATTTAACCTTGGATAATTTTGAAATATGCCATGAATACGAAATTAATCTCCGTTGCACACACTGGGACCAAAAGTACTGATTCATATCCAAAATATCAAAAAATTATATCAAAGGAAGATATTTTTTCTCTCGATAAACTTTTTCTTATTGCTATGCTTAAAAAAGTGGTGCGGATTAATTAGGGATAATGTTTTTTATTATTACGAAAAATTTGTTGAATTTTTGTAAAATGAAATGATTCCATGTTTTGACAATATGTTAGATTAAAATTTTTGACGATCAGGCCCTTTCTTATTTCGAAACGGTCTCGTTGTCGACGAAACGTTTTTTAAAAAAGTACTCATTATTATAAAATTGTGACTATAAATGCCTTTTAGCGTGAATATTATATTATATCAATTTGTTGTATTTTCACATGTAAAGGAAAAAGGCTAGACGGTTCCGTTTTGTTTGTTGTTGCAAATCGTTTTTTCACTTTTTTATTATTATTATTTTTTACGTTTTCTAGCTTTTTTCCTAAAATACAACGTGTTCTTGTTCGTAAATATCTGTGACTTGTAAATCATGTTTTATTAAAGTTAGATGTTTGAACAATTGCTTTGTGGGAAATTGTTATTTTCAGAAAATATTTTAAAAACCACAAAAATACAAAAAAATACCATACACATTGTATATTTATAATGTAATTCTGAAGTATACCAGTATTTATTATACTGTGGACTACATTAAAATGTTTGTGATTGTTTTATTTCACTTCACCCTTCTTATCCCAGTCACTCTTTACACAACACGAGTGTATTCCAAGGACCACACTTTAAACGGTTAACAACTTCTTTCGAAAAATCCCACAAAAAAATCATTTTCCGAAAAACTTCATTTTCATCATTTTTCAACTGTTTGTATTTATTCCAGCCACAGCCAAATAATTGGCCGTCATCTAAAACAATAAAAATCAAATCTAATCAAATAAAAAGTGTTAATCACCTGTTAAAACAACCGTATGCTTATTACCACAGCCAACTTTTTTAATATTAAAATCAAAATCTAAAACTTGAGGCGTTGCCATAATCGACACGCCATCATCACTTCCGCCTAAACCCAATTGTCCACTCCCATTCCACCCCCACACGTACAAATCCCCGTCTTTACTCAAAGCACATGAATGCCACCCTCCTGACTCAATAACCTCAATTTTTATACCTCCTAGTGCTTCTACAAACCTAGGTTCAAGCTCATCATCCAGACATCCATGTCCAAGTTGGCCGCGACTGAAAACTCAAAATTACTTGCCATCCGAAATTGCCAATAGAACCCACCTTCCCCTACCAAAACTAAAAACTTTTCCACTTTTGTCTAAAAGCAAACAATGTTCTCGACCTGTTTTCACATCGATTATATCCTCACTTACAAATTCTAACTTATTTTGTACATTATATAAGTGCCCTTTTTTCGTTAAAGCTACACTTAGCTTTGAACCTGTCGAAATTTGAACGACGGTATCGTCGTCATCTAAATCCATCAACTTTGGCACTTTTATCACAGTTTCTGTTATTTTTAACAAATCTCCATTAGTCAGAAGAACCAAAACCTTGTCCTCATTACATGAAATTTGTCGAATTTTTCCATCCACTGGAATAGTTTCATTTTTCGCGCCGCGAAAAGCTATCACATTGGCAACCAACAATACAGCGTAATGGTAGCTAACCTCGATATTTTCTAAATCTTGATACACGTGATCGATAAAATTTACTACCAAGTCTTGCGGGCTGGGGAACTGACGATGGAGGTTGAAACCATTATAATACACTTTCATGGTATCGATTTGTTTAAGTTATTTACGTTGACAGTTTTGTGTTCAGTGTCTCACAATTTTGCCACTTTTCTCAGCTATTTCCTTACCTTTTCTGACTTGATTTCGGCAAAAGAAGGTCCCAAATGGTAAAAATTTTTGTAATAATTATTAAAAATACGTTCCAAATAAAAATTAAAGGCGTTTTACAATAAATTTCTTATTGTAAATGGCACTCATGTCAAACAATCACCATGGTTACAGCACTTTGTATACAATTAGTTAGGCAACCAAATATACACTCGAGTACAGTTTGGTACCTAAATGTACGGCGCAGAAATCAACAATTATTTAAATGATAATGAGTATAATGATAAAAACAATTGTTTAATGGTAATGATTGTTATAACAACTTTGATGAATAATCCCCAGGGTCTTTTATCGCTTTTGCGAAAGCTTCGAGCCGCTCCTGAGCGCGAATTACGGCTGCTCCTCTTGGGTTTGGACAATGCGGGAAAAACAACAATCCTCAAGACTCTGGCATCTGAAGACATTAATCATGTTACACCTACGGCCGGTTTTAACATAAAATCAGTCATTTCTGAAGGTTTCAAACTGAATGTTTGGGATATAGGCGGACAGCGAAAAATTCGTCCTTACTGGAAAAACTATTTTGAAAATACCGACGTTTTGGTAATTTCCTCATCTAAAAAACACCCAATGAAAGTTTTTTCCAGATTTATGTTGTGGACTCGTCTGATAAGAAACGTCTAGAAGAAACCGGAATCGAATTGTACGAGCTTCTGACAGATGATAAACTCCAAGACGTGCCTTTGTTAGTCTACGCCAACAAACAAGATCTTCCTGAAGCTCTCACCGCCGCGGATTTGGCCCAGGCTTTAGGTTTACCGTCTATAAAAGACCGGCCTTGGCAAATCCAGGCTTGTACAGCCGTCCGAGGCGATGGTGTAAGAGAAGGGATGGAATGGGTGTGCAAAAGTATCAAAAAGAAATAATTCAAACGCAAAATCCGTCCATTCAACCCACCTATTCTATTGTTGACATAGAAGAGTGGGAAAACTATTGTTTTAGCTAATTCGAGTGCGATTTTATCATCAGCTTTGCAATTGTTTTTTGAAACTTTATAAAATAAAGATTTTTTTTAAAAACAGGCCGGTTTTTCCAGATAATCCTCTTTCTTAAAATTATTAAAATTGAAGGTTCATTGGCCTCTTTAGTTACACTATAATCACTCATAATCGTACAAATTACAAGATGCGTGCGATATAACGGGTTATGTTCTCTTGGCAAAAAGAATAAAAGGGAGTTAAAACCGCGGAAATTTTTGATAAGCTTGGCTTTGGTTAAAATTTGTAAATTATTTTTGTTTTTAAAGAAGGTAAAATAAGTCAAAGAGTGTTCCAGAATAGATACATGAATTATGTGACTCAACAGTGAACGGTGCCCGACTTTCGCGACCACGAATTTACGTTTTTTTCCAAACACTCTGTATAACCTTCACTCTCACTGTTGCTAAACGATATTTTAAGACATTATACATTTAGTAATTTTTACCAAACATTTGCGTCCCAAATTAGAAATTCTGCACCAAAAATATGATGCAAGGCATTTTTTAGGTAGAAAACTTTTTGACATGATGACAAGAATAAAAGTTTTTATAATACGTTTTGTTTTTTTTTTTATTTTTGTTTGGTAGATTTTGTTTTTAATAAATAAATTAAAATAGGCAATAATATTACCTATGTATGTAATCAAAAAGGGGTACATTTTAAAAAAAATACACTTTTAAGGGTTAATTCTATTTAATATAACCAAAAGTATTCAACTAGAGTAAGTTATCAAGTTATGTATTTTATTACATACTAATTTCCACCATTTATTAATAATTTATTGTCTAATAGTTATTTATTGTAAGAGTGTGTTAGATAGCGTTTTATCCATGCAAGAATGTTTCACTTTTTTAATTTTCTTATGTAGATAAAACGCGACTAACAAACGACTGCAATATAACGTTTTATTCACAATCACAGGCCCAAATTATTCCAAACTTAATTAAGAATTAAACTGACATTTAAACGTCACGCCAAATGTGTTTTCGGTTAAACGTAGTGCACTGGTTACTAACAGTGGAATAAAATTACTTTATTCCACTGGTGGATAAAATGGTACTTTATACGCATCTAAAGTGTGCAATAAAGTCTCTTTATAGAGTGATTGTGGATAAATAATTTTATTATATATTTTTTTCGTCAAAAAGCAGTGGGGTAAGTTTAAACATAATTAAATAATTATCTAAATAATTATTGCTAATCTAGAAATGAATAGCAACTTTTTTATTACCGCAATCACAGTGATAAGAAACACTTAAGATTTTTTCGTGTAAAAAAGCAAAAGAATTTGTTTAGTGTTGTAGATAAAATTATCTCTTGAAAATTGGTGTCTTTGCAGATATCCGTTATCAGAACTTAGTCCACATAATTGTTTCGGACCACACGGAATGTTCCAGGTAAGCATACGACCTACTCAACAATCTTAAAAGGTGTATTACGAGTGGCAGGTAGTCAGTGTTGAATCGAAACCAGAACCGTTTCGAGGTACCGTAAGTACAGTTACAAAATCATCTACGTCAGTCTGGAAAGTACCATTGAGTTTGTCACTTGTGGTTTGATTGTAGCCGCGATGTGTGACATGTGAATGGTTTAAGATTTGATCAAATAATTACGAACGAGAGTACTTTTAGAAGGTAAGTGTCTCTCAGGGACGTTCGATTAATTCGATTTGTTTACTTGCTGTAAGTTCAAGGCTACTATCCCGACCAGATACCTCTTGATTTCGGGTGGTACCTACCAGTTGAGCTAACTGTATCTTTTGCGGGATTATTCGTGCGTCACTGGCATCATCAAAATTCCTATCAAATTTCGGTACTAACACGTACCATTTGATTGTCAATTGTTTTTTCAAACTCCTACTCGGGGGTATACAATAGGACATGTTTGAGCAATTTGAGATAAAGCACGAGTTGTAAAACGTGACTTTATGATATAATGTTTATTTCAGATTAGTATACCAATGGCTACCATCAATTTTCTTCTAGTCATCCTAGTTATCACAAGTCCTTCTCTTCAGGACATCTCTAACAATCAAATCGATGACGATGTTAACCCCTTCGCTGAAGCTAAAGCTGAAATCCTTAAAGAACAAAATCTACAAAACATCGGCGGAATGATCAACAATTTAATGCAATCAGATGGTGCTAAACAACTCGGAGATATCTTAACTAATGCCGCTTCCGGTGAAAACGCCGGTGAAATCCTTCAAGGATTGGGCTCAGTTTTGGGTCAAAGTAAAGGATTTGACCCATCAATGCTCTCAATGCTCTTCAACATGTTCCAACAAGGTGGTACCAAAAGTGACGAATCGTTCGATATGAACGTCTTAGCATCTCTCTTGGGGGGTTTTATGGGCCAATCAGACGGTGAAAAACCCAACATTTGGACTTATATCCCCATGATTCTACAAACCGCCAATGCTTTCCTAGGCCCCGAAGCCGAAGCCCGAGCCAAAAACCACAAAGACCACGCTAATCTCGTACCACCACTCCTCGAGAAACTACACTTACTTTTCGACCATTTTATCAATTCGGAAATGGGCCGAAAAATGATGAACACCGTCGGTGCTGAAAAATTCGTCAAAGTTTTCGCCGACGAAAACGGCCGAATGTCGTATCGACGCTTTGTTGATATGTTAGAAAATCACTCTTTCAGAAAACACTGGATTCGGATGCTCACCAACCGAATCGCTTCAATTATCTCACACTTCTCCGACCCTAAGACCCAAAAGAAGTACCTGACGACATTTCAGCACTTTATAAATAGCATCATCAAGAGTCAAGGATACCCCAAAGCAGCTCTTTTCGACCCTAGTCGTCCCACGGAAACCATCACAGCTCTTACCAACCATTTTGTCAAAGAAACTCTTCACATGAAGATTAGCTCGAAGCAGTACGTCAAACCATTCGTGGAATATGTGCAGGTGATTTGTCCAGCCACCATGACGTTACTGTATCTAATGTTAGTGAACTTTCAGGAACTGTTCCGTCTAGCTCAGAAGAAAGGGATGTTGAGTGTTGATTCGCACCAACTTTCTGATAAGTTGGCTGATACGATTAACCTCGAGGTGATAGAACCTATAGCAAGGGTCAATAGGGCGTATAGATTTGCGATGAAAGTACCACAATGCGATAAGTCAGTACCAATGTATTCAAAATTGTGGTTCTTACTGTTTTTTTTAGGTATGTGATGTGTTTGGTCAATCAGGAACCGCAGGATGAGAAGCCAAGTCTTCCGGGTCTGCGGCCAATCTTGAGTAAATCAGCGAGCCTTATTTTAAGTTGGTTCTTAAGTAGTACTACAAAAACGCCCTATTTGAGTCTTTATATGGCCATTATGGACAACAAAGACTGCCAGACTTGGTACCATGACGCCTGTAATGACTTCCATCTCGAAGAAATTAAAGTAAAGCGGGAATTAGTGCATAATGAATTATAATTGTAGACTGAGTGTTTGACGCTTTTTTGGGCATAAGTTTTGTTAAACAAATTTTATTTATTTGTACTTAATTGTAAATTATTAAAATGAAACAAAAAGTGACAATGGTTTTTATTGACCGTCATGCTTGGTTCGTGATAATGACCATCGGAAATATGTCATAAGGAGGTCATATTTGACCTTATACATACGATTTTTTTTATAAACTGAGATCACGTCGAAGGTCTCACACCCCACAAAAAATTCTAAGTATTATATAAAAGCGCATGTAACAATCGAGTCATTTGGATTAAAAATGGTTGTTGCGAAAGATCTTGACAAAATTCTTGAAGAAAAATTTACGAGTACCTTTAGGAAAGGCTACGTAAGCATCAATGGCCACACATTTCCTAAAAGATATGAAGATTTAAAAGATGATTTTGACAATTTGGAAGTGGGTGAAGAAGACATCTGGATATGCAGCTTCCCAAAAACTGGTATGTAATCTTCTCCTGAAATAATTGTCATGTCTTGGAAATTTTTGTTTTAAGGAACAACATGGACACAAGAAATGGTTTGGATGATTGTCAATAATCTCGATTTCAAGGGGGGTGAAGTGAATTTGGGAATTCGGTCCCCTTTTTTGGAGTAAGTAAACAAGAGTTAAAAATTTGCAAAATTATTCCTTAGGTTGTCCATTATTTTTGATTATCGTGATATGTTGAAAAACAATTCCAATTTCGATCCACCGATGTTCCTTCAAAATTCTCTCGGTTTTGTCAAGTCACTGAAAAGCCCAATTTGCATGAAAACCCACTTCCCTTATGAATGTCTTCCGAAAGAAATACGAGATGGTCACAAAAGTCCCAAAGTAAGTACAATTTTATTTGTTTAATTTTTAACGAGAATGTTTCAGATTATTTACGTGGCACGTGACCCTAAAGACACCTGCATCTCCTACTTCCACCACTGCAAACTCATGGAAGGTTTCAAGGGCGATTTTGATGAATTTTGCGAATTATTTTTGGCCGGGAAAGTGAATTTTGGACCGTTTTGGAAGCACGTTTTGACCTACTGGGAGAAGAGAAACTCGCCAAATTTTCTTTTCCTCAAATATGAAGATATGAAGAAAGACCTTTCGAAAGTGATAAGACAAGTGGCCGAGTTCTTGGAACGTCCACTAAGTGAAGAAAAAGTCGAAATTTTGACCAAACATTTGAGTTTTGAGTCGATGAAGAATAATCCGGCTGTTAATTACGGAATGGTTTGTGAATTGAACAAGAAATTTAAGTTGATCGAACATGACGGTGTTTTCATGAGATCGGGGAAAGTTGGAGGTCACAAAGAGGTGATGTCGGAGGAAATGATTCGGAAATTTGATGAGTGGACTAAGAGGAATATTCAAGGAACCGATTATGTAATCTGATGTAAAATTTGGTGTTAAATAAAGAGAAAGTTGGGTTAAACAATTTTATTTAAAATATACACATCTAACAAAATATTTGTACTAAATAAATCTAATCAAAAGTGAGTCCGGTCCCTCTGGTATTTTCCTCAATCCAGTCATCAAACCTCTTGGCCAATTCTGGATTCATGTGATTTTTCCAATCCCCGACTTGTCCTTTCCTGATAAAATATTTCCCCGTCTTTTTGAAATAATCTTTGCCATATTTTGACTCTAGCAACACTTCAAGATTACATCCTCGGTTGTTTCGCATATTTTGGAAGCTCAAAAAGTCGCACAATTTGTCGTATTCTTCTTCAGTGTAACTCTTCTCCATGAAATTTGCGATTTTCTTCAAAGTTCCGCGAAGATCCTTCTTCATATCTTCATATTTCAGGAAGAGGATATTAGTTTCGTGTCTTTTATCCCAGAAAGAGAGATAATGGGGGAAGAGAGCCCCCATTGGGGTCAACCCTTTTATCATTTGATCGCAAAATTCCTCAAACGTGATATCAAGCTGGTGGAACATCTGACAGTGGTGATAATACGAAACGCACATGTCTTTGGGGTTGCGACAAGTGTAGATAATTTTTGGCTTGATTTTATCAAGTTCTGTAGGAAGTAATGATAACGGGAGGTGACTTTTGATGTAACGTGGAGACGGAAGGTTGTCGACGAGATCGACGGAGTTGCCGAGGAGTTCCTCACCGAGAGTATCTTGGTATTGTATAAGAACTGTTGACATTCTAAAGACAGTTTTACAGATATTTGGTGTAAATTTGTGCACTTACTCGATTAAGGGTGCTCGGATTTGCTGAATGGTGTTTCTGGCCGTTTCAAAGTCAAGGTCGTTTCCAATCAACCAGATCATTTCTTGGCACCAAGTGGAACCAGTCCGTGGGAAGGAAATGAGCCAGACGTCGTCTTCTCGAACTGGTGCATCTATGATTTGTTGGGCGATTTTGTCATGGAAGGGTGGTAGGAGGCATTTTCCTGGATTAAATTCCATGAGGGAGTTCTTGATGCCGAAGGCCCGGTCCATGACTTCGGCATCTTCGGGACTTAGTTGTCTCACTGTGTAACTCATGATGTTGCAGCAGCTGGAGTTGGTTGTGGACTATCGGAGGATGACTGGGGTCAGAGATTTAGAAGCTGGACTTTCGTAATCACCCCCACTTTGGAGGTGGAGCGATTTTGTTATTGCGGTGATTTCTTGTCAATTAATTATGAAAAATAATTTGCAAGCTGGTAGAACAAAAGAATGTTGTCTAATCGGATAAATTAAAAAAATAATTGTTAGACAAAATGAAACGTGGAGTCATTGTAAGATGCTGCGGAATTTAAGAAATGTTGTATAAGAATGCGGCGAATAAATGTGAAAGTTGTATCCACATGGATGAATAATGTAAAAAACAAGAAAAATTTCAAGACACGAGAACCGGAAGTCACGTTTTATGTGGATCTGGAAGAGAAATGACGGAATTTTCCGCTTGTAGTCTGAGAGACGGATCATTTCACTTTCCAATACAAGGTTTAAATATTTTGACTATTATGCAATTACAAATTATTATGTTTGTACGTGTGTTTTAAATGTGATATTTGCTTTGTAATGAAGAACTGTTGTGTCATGTTTAATTTCGCAAAAATTGTAAATAAAACATTAAGTATATGTATGTGGTGAATATTTCGTGCGTTAACAGTGTTTCGTGAAAATGAATATCACATGTTGTGAATACGAAGAAAACATATTAAATAATTAAGTTTTTGCTTTATTAGAAACAATCTGAAAATAATTGTTTGGGTGAAAGTTTTTACTATGTCCAGTTACTTTCCCTTAACTGGTTTATTTCAAGTTCTTGACCACGAATACACGTCAGCAAGTATATTCAAGACCACAATTTTTTTTTATACAAAAAATAATGAAAACAGAAAAAAAATTGGTAACTATTTCAAGTTCATGTATGCCTCAAAAACAACTTCAAAAATAGACTACATCTTAAAAAAAAATAGTTTACATGTAAATTTTTAAAGAAAGATAACACACTCCACTTTTAAATAAACAAATAGATAAACTAATAAACATAACTAAAAAAAATTACTTAAGAAAATAAATAAAATTATTTTTTTTATTTAGAACTCATATAACTCAAGGTTTCTGGACCAATGTTGTTTAGGTGCATAAAATGGTTATTTCTACCCGTATGAGCGCAATATTTGAGACACGAACAACGAAGGAGCGAGTGCTTCATTGGCGCAAATGCCTCGAATACGACTTGCGCATTGATGTTTGTACTGTAAACACATACATAATCAGATAGATATTTCTTTTTACTAAAAAATTACCTAATTTTTGAAAAGTGCAATATTTTGCTGCTTTAACAATGTAAAGAAAATAATTAAAAGAAAGTTGGTTTTTAATTTTCTGGCGTTCTAGAAATTTCAGCGTTTTTGATATTTATTTTTAAAAAGTTAAGAAAAAATTTTTACATTATCAAATGATAAAGTAAAATTGCTTTAGTTTTAAAAGTTTGTAAAATCTTTTCATCGAGTCAATCATAAAATAAGTCACTTCTTACTAGACATCGCACGCTAAAAAGTCGTTCCGAGTCAAATTAGAATTACTACTAAAATGTTTTAACACTTTTAATATTTATTTTAGTATATTTAAAAAACTCCATTCTATTCTCGGAAAATTTATAGGTACTTTAAAATTAAAATTTCTGATAGAAATTTATCAGTACAATATTATTTTCTTACTTTTTCACTTCTGTATTATTGGTTGCATATCCAAATTAACAAAAAAGTAGTAATTAATTTTTTTATGTAATACACAATGGCGACATTAATGTATAGTATTAATAAAAATTCAAATATTTAAAACACTATTTGTTCTTTTTAGTTTGTTCTGATTTCGACCTTATCCACATTTCCAGTATTTCCCACCTTTTTCAAACGTCAATGTAAACATAACCTAAACTTCCTAAAACTACTCGATTTTCATTTAAAACTAAAAAAACTAATCGACATGAGTTCATTTTCGAAGAAAAAATGAAAAAATTCCACTGGTTTAACGTTTCACCTATTGGCAAATCCCTAAAAATATTCGTAACCTTTGCACTAATCTTGATTATCCTTTTTCTTACGTATTTTACTTATTTAAAACCTAAACCGTCCCCTACAAAAGTCCCTTTCGAACGCCACACTTTCGATGAATATAAACACATGGCTCATCGCGAAACACCGTTTAAGGGGGCTAAAATCGTACATCTAGACTTGAAAGGGGCCCCTCCGAAAATTTCGTACTACAAAACATTGTTTTCGCTTTTATCTAAATTTGGTGCCACTGGTGTATTGATTGAATATGAAGACATGTTTCCTTATGGTTCTCCTATCTTAAAAAATGTATCAGCACTGAATGCTTACACAGTTGAAGATATTCATTATATAAACAAGCTAGCAAAAGAAAATAAATTGGAAGTGATTCCTTTGTTGCAAACTTTCGGACATTTAGAATTTTTGTTAAAACTGGAGGAGTTTAGTGAGTTGCGGGAAGTACCAGAGTATCCTCAAGTGATTTGTCCCACGCATGAAAAAACCTTAAGTGTTTTAATGGAAATGATTGAACAAGTATTGGAAATGCATCCAAATTCTAAAACTATTCATATCGGCGCCGATGAGGTGTACTATCTGGGATTTTGCGACAGGTGTGCCAACATTATGAATAAATTCAATTTGTCGAAAAATATGTTGTTTTTGGAACATATCAATGCAATCACGACTCGAATCCGAAAGAAATATCCACACATAAAAATTCTGATGTGGGATGATGAATTTCGGTCGTTCAGTGCCAAAGAACTGAAAACTGGATTTTTGAACAAATACATTCAACCAGTAGTTTGGAAATATTCAAAAGACGTTTATGAGGAATTAGGGCCTAGCTTATGGGAAATGTACTCAGAGGTGTTCCCTAAACTATGGATTGCCAGTGCATTTAAAGGAGCTACAGGTAAAAAAAAATCTCTAAAATTGTACACCACTAATCAGTGTAATATCCCAACAGGTAGTAACCAGTACGTCTCTGACGTCACTCACTACGTCCAAAACCACCGCTCCTGGTTATCCCTGATGTCGGAATACTCCCACAGGATCACTTTCGAGGGCATCATCATCACCGGTTGGCAGCGCTATGACCACTTCGCCGTCCTTTGCGAACTACTCCCAGTCAGTCTCCCTTCATTAGCAATGAGTCTCCGAGTCATCCTCGGCTACCAAGACTCACCTTTAAGTCCTCCAACCGAAGTCGCAAAACTTCTAGGCTGCGAACAGCCCTACGCTCTCATCGGACCCGTTTTCGGAAGCCCTAAATGCTCCTACACCGGCGGTGACATCCTCGAGGGTGTCCTCAAACTCCAACAGCTCAAACAGGAATACGAAACGATTCTTGAGGACTCAAGAGTCAAAGGGTGGATGAGTGATTATAACAAAAACCACCAGTTTTCCAACCCACAACATGTGCAATCAGTTACAGCCCCTTTGAATAGGATCAAAGGCGAGTTGTTGCAACTAGATAGTGAAATGACGACAGCTATGTACGAAGTTTATGATAATTATACGATTAGCGAGTGGAGAGAGACTTACATTAGGCCTTTTGAGAGGGAGATTAAGGCGATGGTTGATGCCAGAGATAAAATTTTGGCGAAAAATTATTGGCCAAGGAGGCCGTTGCAAGATGGTGACGAGTTGTAAATTTTTGTCAATTTTAAGCACTAAAACGATTACAAAAGCACTTATCTATAAGAATCTCGTGTGAATCTTTGTGTCTTTACGCATTTTTTTGATATTACGAATTGTTAAAGTTGATTTAAGCTCGTTTTGAGCAATAGTTTTTAAGTGCCAATGTTTACGTATACAAAATAATCTTGGGGTTTTTCTAGTCTAGGGGTTTTATTGTTATTTATGTGACTATTTTCTCTATTAAAATAAAGAGTTGTGAAAATTTTAATTTCTCTTTATTAATCAGAATTCTCAGAAATCATTTGCAACTTGTTTATTAATTATATGGTGAAGCCTTCTGTTCAGGGCAAACACCGGCAGCTTTTTACTACTTGAAACTTCTTTTATAATTTATAATTAAAAAATCAAAGATCGCAACGATTTTTTAGATCAGTTTACGTCTTTATTAACTCATTTCAAAATAAAGTTTATTTTGTTTTTTTTTTTATTTCGTTGCAATCACTGTTTACCCACTTGAAACTGAAGAGCAAAATAAACATGAAGAAACTATTTCACATTAAATAAAAAATGCATTTTGTTCATAAAACTGTTTTTTTTTATTTACTTATTATCTTGAGAATTGAAATGGAAATCATATAAAATTATGAAAAGCAAATTACACAATTAAAAATAAATAAATAAGCCTAGACAATAGAAATAAAAAAAACTATTTATTTTAAACACACAATTTATTTAAACCACCGCGCCCATTAGTAAGACGACTCTTACACTGACCGATTATCGCCCAAATTACACTAGGGAGCAGACGTATTAAATGTAAAATGTATATTTATGTTTAATAATAGCATTTTAGATTGAAAATGCATGTATGGTTATTAATTCATGTAGATTTTAAATATTAAAATAAAATATTGTGGCGTGTAGGTTGCGGGTGGGCAGTAGTTGTTTTAGAGCCACTGTGGCGAAATTTTGGTGGTCGCTGTGAGTCGTCCCGAGTCGCCCGTCGGTACAGTCGGTAACGTGGTAACGGTTCCCTGTAAATTGTTGTCAAACCCTTTGTAAAATCGTTGTTTCCGTCAATTTTCGTGCAATTTTCTGTCATCGTTAAAGTGCGTGACGCTCCAAAATCCTCCTCTTCAAAAACTCATCGATTTTGTAAAATTTTTTAGTGTATAGGTTCGTTTGTGTGACGTCCACAAGAGGGTGCACCGCATCGTGACGTCACGCACAAGCGATCAGTCAGAGCAATATGTCGGCGTGTTGGTGGAGCAAGTGATAGTTATTGTGTGGAAAAATAAAATAAAAGGGGCATCCAAATTTGTGAGACGACACGCGAAAAGACTCGATTGAAATTAGCACGATGGCGTCGCATTGCATCGGCAAATCGGAGTTTATAGTTGGTGGCAAGTATCGGTTAATTCGGAAAATCGGCAGTGGCTCCTTCGGGGACATCTACTTGGGCATCAACATCACGAACGGAGAGGTAAAGCAGCCACAAACTGTGTGAAATTCATTCCCAGACGTGTTTACGACACGTCTTAACCTTTAAGTCGTGGCTTTGTTTCGTAAAAACACGAAACCAGTCCGACCACAAATCACAATGGCAGCCATTAAGGCCCCGTCTGCTCAGACCCTTTTCGCCCTCCAAATCTCCTACAATCCTGCCTTTTCCTCCAAGAATAACCCCCAAAGACCGCCAGACAAAGAATCTCTCTTTGTTTCGCGGACGGCCAAAAGTAGGTTACTTCACCAGGATATGGGCCTCTCTTACGACACATTTCACAATTTTTACGCTCATTTTTACCATTTTTGGAGACATTTGTGCCTCGATTTGCATCATTTCAGTGATTCTCCATTAATTTGTTTTTTTTTTTTTTCTGATAGGAAGTGGCAGTAAAACTCGAATCAATTAGAGCAAGACATCCCCAACTCCTCTACGAAAGTAAATTGTACAAAATTCTACATGGTGGCATAGGAATCCCACATATCAGGTGAGTATCCAACAATATGGGCATGAACCATACTCATCTAAGGACACACTTGATGGTACTATACAGGGTGAATCAGTTGAAAGTTATCTGCAGATAATTGCGCCGTATTTTGTATACATAATGTACGGAAGTTTTCGGCGTTTTTTGTTTACATAGCTAATAAATTTTTATTTCAATTTTAATAATTTTCAAAACAATACGAAATCGTAGAAAATACTCGTGAACGGTAGCAGTGCTTGCACGTGTTTACTTAATTTTATGTCTACAATACTTCAATGCAATACAACGTTTCGACATTAATTGCTATATTATGAAACGTTTTTAATTTCACAAACTGAAGTTGAAATGTATATTCAAAAGTTTTGATTAAAACAATTAATATACAGCTCTGAAAAAAGAAATTAATATTAAGAAAATATAAATAAATAAATTAAGTTTCAGTTTCCAATTTATGTAAATACTATGTTTCACATGTATCTTTTGGTAAAATTTAGAATAACAATTTAGTGCTTAACTTGATTCAATCATGATTTATGTGATAAATTTTATCGCTTGATGGAAATTGATGTAAATATTGTCTGAAGAGCAAACAGGTCATAGTCAGATGATTTGAGTTTTCTGAGGTCGTTTTTTAAAGTAAGTGGTATTTTATTTCTTTTTTGTTACAGTCACTAGTAGGATATTGATTTTGTTGCTATTTTAAATTATTTTATAGAATCGGTTTACGAGTAAGTTGGGTCTAATAGAAATAAATTTGAAAAATGTTAAGAATTTTTAAGTATTTGTCTTTTTGATACTTTAATAAATCTTTTACTGCATTATAATTTTTTGTATTTGGGATGAGAAATTATAATAATTTATCGTGTGGTCAAAGTAAACTAGCTTTGTAGGTGGTGTTTTACATAGTAATTTATGTATTTATCGATATTTATGTTATGAAAAGTAAATGTGTAACTCGTTTTCTTAATTTTTGAGAATTTTTTATTAAATTTGACATTATTGTTGTTGTGAAAATGATTGTTGTGTTGTTCTATTTTTAGCTTTTTCTTGTTGCTTTCAGTTTATTACCAATGGGACACGATTTCTACTATTTTAGTTTTTAATAAGATTAATAAGAAAACTTCGGTGTTTGCTGCTTATATTTTTAGTGTGTATTTGTGTGAACTTTCAATACTTGTCTTGTTTTTGGGATATTTTATGTATTTAATGAACAATCACAAGTGAAGAAATACATACTATACACAACTTATTAAACTATCTGCAGTCATATACGACAACAGTTTAGAAACGATATGTTTTTGAAGAAATCTGTTTGAAATTTTCGGCTGATTCACCCATCTCGTAGTCATAAACTTTCCCCTAAAAGACACCATCGACTTCAAATCGTGTAGATGTTTCGTCACATTCTTGAAAGTAAAAGATTTCGGACGTAATTTATCGATTGTTCAACGAGAATGGAGAGTCGAACGACCGTTACATAAAATTACGAATTTTTTCCTACAATCTGCTTTTGTTGTAAATTATTTATGAGTCACGCCTTTGCAAGTTGACGCGGAATTTTGCTAGATTTCATGACGATTGATATTTATAAATTAATTCGACCTTATCATGGTTACTTCCGGTGGTTGACCACATTTGCTCATTTATTCGACGAAAATTTTTCTATTTAATGTAACACATAGATGCGCACTTAATACTTGGCATTATCTTATCGCCGAAATTTGTAAATAAAAACAAGAGTGATGTCGATTTTAGAAAATGATCGAAAATTCTTAAGGTCAACGACAAAATAAAATGCGAGTTGAAACTTGCAACGTTGTCATTTTATCTTCTCCGACTCCGTTCATTGTTCAACTTGCAAGTACTTATAACCTTGTAAGTCTCTCGTTGCGTCTTATTACAGTTAGATTTCACGCCACCAAAAATTCTAAAGGTCGTTTCACATCGCTGTTGCAATTTTATATCGTTTTATCGTAATTAGAGAATTTTTTAGTTGGTCGAATTTTTGAAATGTTAGCCTTGAATGTTGGTGTTTTCGTATAGCGACATTGGTGTGTTATTTTAATGAAAATGCTTTTTGTTTAGACAAGACAAAAATGTCGGTGATTTTTTTTTACGATTCGAGTTTCGGAGAGAGAGGTGAAGTAACGTGTCTCTGGTCAGGTGCTTCGAACAACCGTTGCTCACCTGAACCAAATTACAATTTTTCGAGACAGTAGAAGTGCAACAAGTCGTTCCAAACACACCAAATTTACAGTTTAGGAACCGCCATTGTAGAAAGCGCGATGTAACGTTATTAAGTAACAAAATGGAAGTCAAACGGAAACCGCAGATTGCCTCTAAACAGCAAGTCAGTTTCCGCGTGTGCCAAATTGAATTTTTTTCTATCGCCTTTCAAGGCCTGTGCGAGTTTTTTCGCCGCCTCCGACGTTCAATTAGCGGCCGGCGACCTTAAAGCTCGCACGATTGATATTAACAATGGACACCTACGTACTTTCTCCGTGGAAATAATAATTATAAAAAATTATTAAATCTTTGTTATGTCGCAGCAGATCGAGTGCGAACGAAAACAAAATGTCACTTTCACGAGATTCGATTTGAATAAGTTGGTTTCCGCGAAACGCAACGTATCAACTAGGTCATGAAACGGAAAAGTGTGACACTTTTTGATTTTTTTTTCGGTTCTAATTCGGGTCTCTTGGTTTTACTACTCGTTCCGTCACCTGTCGGAGTGACCGGGTATCGTTCACCCAAGTTAGATAAATACGATGCGTATTTTTTGGTTTCGTTGAATGGGAGTTGGTTGCATGTTTGTCCCTTTCGATGGTAAAATAGAGGCGGTCGTAGTCGCGTGCACGTTAAAGGTACAATAACCCTTGTTTTTCGTTGACAACAGAATGATTGGATGCACGTTTCGAATGGGTTCATTTGAAATGAAATGCGTGTGGTTTCCTAATAGTAGTTCTCCGCCTTCAAAGAAGGGTAAAAAAATTGATTTAAAAATTTTTTTTTTTGATTGTTATCAGTTTCTGCATTATTTAAAAGCGTAAAATGGGGAAATATTGATCGTATCTGTTAATGTTTGTATAACCTATTTGAATGACCCGAATTTTCGTCAATTGCGATTAAAATAAATTCACGAAATTTTGTTGTTTTATTTCTTTTTGTAGGCGATCGAAGGATTTATTTGATCGAGATTGAGAATCGGTTTCGTTTGTTTGATGCGTGGAATTTAATGGGTGATAATTTAAGTCACTTAACTCAGATTTATACAAGTGGTGATTATATGCTATTAAAAAAATGTAGAAAAAACGAAAATTATAATTGATTTGATTGGAGATAAAATATGAGTTAACAAGGAAGAGTCAATTTTTGTTTTTATAAAATAGTTTTAATTTTAATTAAAAAATAAAAGGTTACGTTTGCATAACTTCAGTTTCAAAACAAAATCTTTGTGTATGCATTTTTTACCATAATTTATTTAAAGAAAGAGATTTGGCAATATGTATAAATAGGTTGTACGTTACTATTTGTTGTCTCGCTGTTTTAATTTTATTCAGCTTTGATTATTTGTAAACTCAGTAGAATCCTGTTAAAATAAGAATTTAAGGGATCAGAAGTTTTACTCTTATTGTATTAGACGATTTTCATTATAAAGAGAATCTTAGAAGAAAAAAAAAACTTTTAAAAAATTCATATTATTGCTAGTAATATTATTTTATTCGTTCAAAATTCTCTGTAGATTATTAGTGCATTGTGCGGTAGTATTAGTTTTTAAATTAAATTTAAAAAAATTGCGAATAATTTTCAAGAAAAAGAATAGTTGATTTTTGATATTTAAATAAGTTGTCCAAATGATTTTCAGTGTTTTTCTCTAATCAAGTGTAGATCTAGTTATTAAATAGGGAGGTGATGTGCAACATACTAACAACATTGTTTTTGCTTATATTGATAGATATCTATTACGTGATAAATCGATTTTTTTTGTTATCACAGTAATTATATCAAATTTTGCACTGTCATTTAGTCTTGCGTTGGTTCAGAAAACCAAAAAAATAATTATTTTCTGTTTACTATTTTGTGAAAATCTAAAAATATTGTGTTGAACCAAGTGTATTATGAGTAATTTGGGAAAAGAAAAAGTATTAAGTTTCTAATTAATTAACTGGTTACATAAGTATCTGTTCTCATTCTGTTTTGTTATAGAGTTTTTGGGTTGTCCTACTTATTATATGAAGTATTGATTTACTGATGTTTGATTGGTTTCATTGTGATTAATTACGAGTGATTCATAATTTGTAGAATAGATTTCATATTATGTACAATTTCACGTAGAAAAACTTGGTACTCGTAAGTAAATGCACCGGCGAAATTTTTTATCATGATTAAATAGTTTTCTATGTGAAAATAAAACAAAATTTGTCTCTTCAGTGGTTTACATATTTTGTTCGTAATTGTAGTTTCAAAAAACACGAGAGTAGACATTTTTCCAGTTGATACAAGTGTTAATAAATTTTATTATTGCGATTTTATTTGCGATTCTCAAGACACCTGTTATCGGAAACGTATCGATGTCGTTTGTGACGTCAATTGAGAGTTAACCAAGACACAATTAAAGTTTTATTTCATTGAAATTTCTTATTTTGTCTGTTTCGCTTTACAAACGTGTAAAGTTAGGTGTTTTCCGTTTCTCGAATCTGTTTATCGTCAGCACGTTGTGCCGATGGTGTCTATTTATAATTGTCGTCGACCTTTGTTAACACGCCAATTCGTTCCAGATATTACGGCCAAGAAAAAGAACACAACGTTCTAGTGATGGACCTTCTTGGTCCGTCACTAGAAGACCTGTTCAATTTTTGTTCACGTCGTTTTACGATCAAAACCGTTCTGATGTTGGCCGACCAGATGATCGGCCGTATCGAATACGTCCATTGCAAGTCTTTCATTCATCGCGACATAAAACCGGACAACTTCCTGATGGGCATTGGTCGTCATTGCAACAAACTCTTCCTAATCGACTTTGGTTTAGCGAAGAAGTTTAGAGATGCACGCACTAGGATGCACATCGGATATCGCGAAGATAAAAACTTGACGGGGACGGCACGATATGCTTCGATCAACGCCCATCTTGGTATAGAACAGTCGCGACGTGATGATATGGAATCGCTAGGCTACGTGCTGATGTACTTCAACAGAGGATGCTTGCCGTGGCAGGGACTCAAAGCGGCGACCAAGAAGCAAAAGTACGAAAAGATCAGCGAGAAGAAGATGTCCACGCCGGTTGAGGTTCTCTGCAAGGTTCGCTGAAACAATACATTTACCAAATTACACAAAAAACACAAGCAGAGGAATTTGTTTCAAAATCACGTAATTAGAAGAGATGCCCAGAAAATATTGATAATGTAAATAAAATGAAAGAAATTGAAAGTATAGAGTGAGTGAAGTTAGGAGTAAATTGAGGAAGAAGAATCGCCAGTTTTTTGTATTTTAGATTAGGTAGAAATTTTTAGTTTAAAAAAAAATGGACGGTGTTTTTTTTTTTTTTTTGAATGGTATGCTTTAAAATATATTTATCCACAATCATTCTATAAAGAGAGTTTATTCCACACTTTAGATGCGTATAAAGTACCAGTTTATCCACTAGTGGAATAAAGTAACTTTATTCCACTGTTAGTAACCAGCGCACCGCGTAACAGCTTACTACGTTTAACCGAAAGCACATTTGGCGTGACGTTTAAATGTCAGTTTAATTTTTAATTAAGTTTGGAATGATTTGGGCCTGTGATTGTGGATAAAACGTTATATTGCAGTCGTGTGTTAGTCGCATTTTATCCACTTAAGAAAATTAACCCCTCGAACTGACGTTCTCGCGGTTAAACATTCTTGCGTGGATAAAACGCTATCTAACACACTCTTACAATAAATAACTATTAATTATAGGAACTTGTAAAAGTATATCATTTTTTACTGTTTGTCGAGTTTGCAAGAAAGAAACGAAAGTGTTAATCCTAGATTTTAAAAAAAAATCAGTTTAATCAACATGAAGTACATTTAAACACTACCAAACTAAGGATGCACACACATAATGTTAAGTAATATACTTTTCATACAAGTGTTTTACTTTCTAGATATAATGAGCGTTTTAAAATTCAATATACATATTAAACAATGCCACAAATAGAATCTCTTAAAATACGAAAATTTTCATTCTCAGCTTGTTTGAATAAAATTTTAAAGTTAAAATTGAAAGTATTTTGAGGAAGACGTTGAAATAATGATTCATTTTATAAAACCTATTGTTTTTCGGTCAGTTCTTTAGGCCTCTTGCATTGTAAAAATAAAATCTCGCTGCTATGAAAGTGTTAATTTATATCGGTAATAATTTAGTTATGAAAATTCAATGAAAAGTTAACAAGTGATTCGTTATATTTCTCTCTTTATTCTATTTCATTTCAGTAAATATGTATCGATTAGTTTACGTAATAATCAATGAACTGATTTCATAAACAACCAATATTATTCGAATGTGTCTAAATAACATTAACAATAATTTCATTTTACTATAATTTGGTTTTGTATATTTACAAGTAATTGTGTCTTATGATCTATTGTCAGAGTTTAAAGACCTTATTAAAATTTTTACGGTTGTATGTGCTCTTAAAAGTATTCAGTTCAAGTTTTTTTTTTGGTGTTTTTTATCGAAAATTTACAATAAAATTCAACGAGTAGAAATTTGTGTAAATTCCTTCTGCACACTTGATTCTTTGAAATTGGTGGTTTCGTTTTTTTTTATACTGTTCTATTTTGTTAGGGATTTCCGGCGGAGTTTTCGATGTACCTCAATTACTGTCGCGGCCTCCGTTTCGAAGAGGCCCCCGATTACATGTACCTAAGACAGCTGTTCCGGATTCTGTTTCGCACATTGAATCACCAATACGATTACACGTTCGACTGGACCATGCTGAAACAGAAGGCGGCAGCTACAGGAGGGACAGTGGCCGAAACGTCGGCTCAACCACAGACATCGCGAGTTGTAATATCTCAACAAACAGGTGAGTCGACGAACGAACGATTTCGATCGGTAATTTTCACCGAACGAAATCACTGATGTGACGAATTTAGCGACTAGTCAATGTTTTTAATAGTTAAGATCTTATAGTCACCCTCTTTTCAGCGAACCGTGACAAAAAAGATGACGAAAAGAACAAGCAAAATTCTGCTAAAGGTACAGCTCACTATAAAACAACCCACCCTTCTACTGCAAATATTGCTAAAGTCTTTAAAGGTCACTGAGAATGTTGTTTTCGTTTAATATTAATTTTTTTTTATTTTGCCCTGTAATTTCGTTTATTTTTTTTACATATTTACATAAAATTGTTGTGTCCCTTTGTGTTTTTTTCTTTCTTGGAATATCTGAGAAGTAAGTGTTGAGCTTTTTTCCTAGTCTTCTTTGGTGACCGTTTTATTTTTAAAGTGCGATTTTAATCCCTTTTTAGATTTTTTATTTTCATTAGAAAAATCGCACTCATGTCATTTTTTTTCTATCATAGACACGTGATCTTATCGGGCGCGTAGCTGTGCTAAAAGCTTCAAATCCATACTAACAGTCATTTTTTTCTGTTGATAGTAAGTTTAAAAAGCGAACATTTTTATTGCAGGTCAGCCAGTTGTCACGAAGCTTCTATAAAGGATCAACGCTGTATTTAAAAAACACTGTTAGTTTTCATCCTTTTTTTTGAGTGTTTTATTTTTAAGTTTATTTTTTAATTAAAGCTTTTGGTAAGTTGGGACTAACATGGTCGGGATGAAAGCTAACATTCTAGAGTCATTTGCATGTTGTATATTTTTCTAACCAATCACAAATCGTTTTTTGTTTATTTCATTGTTTTTTCTGTCTTTTGATAGATATATAGTTTTGTTTTGGAGTAACCGTTTGTTTTCTTCTAGGCAACCGTTAACACGCCCCACATACACCACCACCGACTGGGTCTAACCGACTTCGCATATAGTTGGTCAAAGCAAAAAATAAAAATTATAATAAAACAAAAATTAAGAGGTTGTCTTGATGGACGCTGACAATTTTATATAAAAAAAATAATTAAAACATTATTGTAAGTGAGCATACACGAATTAATTTTTTCTTTACCCGCCGTTAATGGGAAATTGTATAAAAAGATATAAAAAAACAAAAAATTTAAAGGGCGAGGCCGCTCACAAATAGGCCACGTCTCCTCGAGTATGATAGTGGATTAGTGATGCGTGGGAGTGAATGCAAGTCTGGCTGTATTATTTAATATGTTAAGAAATAGATTGTAAAAATAATGGAAACAAAAGTGAGTACCGTAAACGTCACTAAGGATTTGAAAAAAACTATACGGAACTCTTGTCGAGCCTACGACGTTCAGGCGCTGCACGGTAAAACGTCGTTAAATGTGATCATTGATTTGTTAGATTCTTTCATTATTTGATCCTCGTTTTACAGTGCGGCTTGTACATTTTATAATAATGGTGTTAATGTATTTTACTTTTGTTTATTTATCGTAATGGGTATAAGAACTGATCGGTGCGGTTGTTCCGCGCCTTCTAGTTGTTTAAAATCAAAGTTGCTTTAGTTAAGTAACCCCCGGCAAAATTTTTGACACGAGTAAATCAGATCGATGCACATTCAGAAATTCTGTTACAAACATCAGAGTGTAGTGTTTTAAACTATACTCTATTTTTATCGCAGGCTGTGTAAGATTTACTTTGGTCTAATCTGTTGTTTGAGGTTATTTTTCTCTTTCAAAAGATGTATAGTTTGGATTCAGAATGAAGGTTTCTTTCTATTTAACTATACGTCTTTTCTATGTAGCTGCGTCTTAAGCAACTGCCATGAACTTAATTGTCGATTTTTTTCCATTGTAATAATGTAATATCAGTGTGTGAAAAATGCTCTATTATTGCAAACAAATTACGAAACAAGTTAATTGTTAAATACAATTGTATAATATGGTTTTGTCTTCATTTATAATTAACTAAATACGCTATAGTTTTTACAATAGTTTTTTTTTTTGAAGGGTATCTGAGACAAACCCTTATTTTTAAGTTAATAACCACGTTGGATATTTATGTAAAAGTAACTCTCACAATGAGGTAAGATTAAAGATTGAAATTGTACCAGGATTTTCATTTAACCCTCCCCAAATAAAACGACAAAATATACATAAACTTTTTATTAAAATGTATATAAAGAATTAAAATTAAAGCTGTTGCCGTTTCTATTTTGAAGGCAGTTAGTGTCAAAACGAATGGAATGATTACAAATCCTAACATTACACGGGTACAATAATTAAGTACACCAGAGGGCAGCAGCACAGAAAACAGTCAATAAAAGCTTTAAAATTTGTACAACAAAGAGGCCCAGCCTCGGTAAGGCAAGAACTGTGCGGAGTAGGTCACGTTGGTACGTATAGATGGCACAAAAAAAGTAAAATTAGTTTAAAAAAATATTTATTGCACTCAATTCAATTGCGGCGAATCGCCAGCTCCCCCGGCCATTTCGTAGACTTTTTTAGCGACTTGCAGCGCCAATTCATCAGCTTGTTCCCGGGTAGCTGCCTCGGCGTACACTCGGACGATATCCTCAGTCCCTGAGGGTCTGACAAACGACCGGCCTTTGTCGAACTTGGCCACCAAGGCGTCGATTTCGGCCTGGAGGCCCTCGGGAGTGACGCATATGCGCTCGGCGTCGGTCGTTGTGATGACGTTCCGGTCTTGGACCGTCACCTTCATCAGGCGGTTGGGCAAATCGGTGTAGGCGCTTTCCCATTGTTGGATGTCCCAGCCTTTAGCGTGGAGAATCGTCTCGATGAGGAGCATGTCGGAGATGGCGTCGCCCACCGTTTCGTTGATGAGGTCGATGAGGTTAAGGAGAGCTTCAGCGGCTTGTCTTCGCTCCTCCGAAATGCTAAACAAACTAATAGTTTAAAACGATTTCGGTGCAACTTTACCTGTTATTTTTTGCAGTTTCTCTCAACTTGTCTTTGGCGTTTTGGCTGAAGATGACGGTTCCGTGTCCGTTGGCCTCGAAATAGACTCCAATGTCGTAGTCGAGAGCCTTGTGGTGCAGGTGTTTGACCCCTGTAGAGACACACGCAACCGGCACTTGCAATTTTTTCGATATGTATTCAGTCGACGCGCCATTAGCGTACGCAGTTTGAACTAAACCTAGGTTGAGATCGAGTTCGGTCTTTTCTAAGATTTCCTTAAGATAACTTGCGATCAGAGTTGCCATACGGTCCCCGTCCATCAAATGGAAGCCGTTATTCTCGTCCATGTAGTAATAAATCAATCGGTCGGCGTCGCCATCGACCGAACAACACCGAACGTTGGTCTCCACGGGAACCCCAGTCGGGAATTTCTGTTGCGATTTCACATAATCGGCACCGCACTGCAATAACCAAACAGTAAAAATGTTTATCACCGCGAAATTATTACCATGTAGTTAAGCTTGCCCGAACCGATAATGGCATCGTTATACATTTGTATTTTCATACTGTTACCCAAGAGTTCTTGAAAATATTTGATTTTTTTAGCACCAACGCCGTTTGCTCCGTCATACAAAAGCCGGTTTTTGTAACTTCCGTTTGTGTAAGTTTCACCCCTGAGTTTTTTGAAAGCTTTGGTTAACTTTGTGTAGTAGCCTTCTTCGGTCGGTTCGCCGTATTTGCGATTTGTGTTTTTACAAACGACAAAATAATGCAGTTGGGGGGTGGTCACAATTCCGTAATCAACTGGTTTCCCGGAAAGGGCTAAAACCCCGTCCGTTAGGGACTTGGCCAGACTTGGACTACTAGGTCGGGTGTCTTTTCCTACAACGATTTCGACACGGTCGGTCATAGGAATATCGTATTCTTTGATTATCTCGTTGATAGTCTCTTCAAGTTGGTCATCACTAAAACCGGTTCAATTATCTTATCAATGGGGTTGGGAATGGCGACAAATTGAGAATTAATGCGCTAAATTGTTATGGCAACGCAGTGATAAAGAAAAATTAAATTACCCAACATTGGCAAACTTGGTGGCCCACTTCTCCCAGCTCTGCTCCAGCATCTCGCCCATGGGGTCGACAAGTTTCACCCCGTTGTCGGGTTCTGGGTTGTGTGAGGCCGTGATCATGACCCCGATGGTGGCTGCAATCGTCAAATTCCGTCAAAGTTTCTATAAATCGGCCACTCACCTCTCTTATACCTGGCCCTTAAGACGGCCAGCAGCCCCATCCGGTACATAACGTACCCCAAATTGGTGGCCCTAAAGAGTGACAGTTAACTTAACCTCTAATTTGACGATCAATTCGACTTACTTGGTTCTGAAACCCGCAGTACCATATTGTATGTCAGTCTTGACAGTTTTTGGGTGCATTTCTCTGGCGAAAGCGTAAACTGTTCTGTAACTGTTTGCCATGCTGATAAGACCACTTGAGAGACTGGTTGACACCTTTTCTGGGAGGGAATAGGTGTGAGAGAGAAGGAGCGAGACGATGACTAATAGTGGATACCAGTAATGCCAGTCTGAGTTCATTTCATCGTTGTAATGAATTTAAATTGACTTTCACTAAAGGGAGAGGTCTACAAACAAACATTGGAATTTCGTTAAGTATTTTAATTACGTCTTAATTATTTTCGTCTCCGTTATCTGGAATGATAAAGATAAAAAACCAATGGACGGAATTTACATAAATAAAATCTCGATAAAATGGACGGTTTCACAATAAATTTGTACATAAAACATAGAAAAAAGTGCTATAAAAACTTAACATCTAGCAATAACAAAAGCGACAATTGTCGTAAGTAGCGTGATTGAGGCACTTAGAGAGGCACTTCCGGCATGACAATCAACGATCCTCCGTGCCCGCAGGAAGTCACTTCCGAGATATTCGGCGTAGTGACGCTTTTCAGGGGGAATGACCTTCAATTGAGTCGTCGCATCTTGAAATATCAAATCGGTATAAGGCGGCGTTGACGAAAACATACTGAAACTATAAAACAAAAATAACTTCAGTCTTTTATTTTCGTATTATGTCACTTTACCTAAATTCATCGGTCGTCTTCCGTCCGTAAAAATTCTGGGCGTACAAAAATAAATTAATAAACGCATTCACATGTGTGTCGTTGTACCCATAACCGCCTCGGGTTACGATCGCATTCGCCTTGACTTTTCCCAAATTGCATTTTTCGTATTCATTGATTTCGGCTCTCGTCCCTACAACCCATGATCAATAAATGACAAAAAAAATTAAATAAAATACCATCAGGGCAAAGCAACTCAAAATCGTCGTTTAGATTATCCCTCGCCCACCACTCTTCTCTTTTTCCGTTGGTATTTTGCGTGACTGTAGTATGCGTGACAAAAGCGACTTGACCGCCACCTTCCACTAAACATCTGAAAGCCCCCGTGTGGCCGTAGTAGTCCTCCGAGGCGTCTCTGCGACAATACCGGAAGCTCGCGCCGTGGCAAAGGTGGCACATGTTGTCATACGGCACGCCAGTGTTGTATTCAGTGCTCAGCGCTCCCGGGACGCAACTCTTTGAGAAATATTCTGCCGCAGCTCTAATACTGTTGCAACCGTAAGGCCGGATCCACCCATTACTGATTAAAAATGCAAGGGGGTACACCCAACCGGCGGCAGTATTGATGCCTCCATGACAAGTGTACTTTCCTCGAAGGTACGTCAGCTCGGTTGAGGGATCTGATTCTTTGGCCACAGCCACCACATAGTATTCGGGGTCGTTTAAGTTGTACATTTCGCTCATGAATGGAATGAGGTCGAAGTTTAAACCGGCTGTGTAGACGTCGCTGGCGTCCAAAACTGCGACGTCAGCTAGACCCGACCTGATGGCTTGCATGCAATGGATTTGCGAGTGGCCTTTGTAGCAGTCCATTTCTGGCTTGAGGAGGTGGGCTTTTAAGGCCGTCTGGAAATGGTAATCTTTATTTTATCCTTAAAAGTCGTGAAATAAAAAACTGACGTCCTTAAAATGAACTGTGCAATAATATTTCTGATCTAAGTAGCTTATTTTCAAATTGTAATAAATTTGCACTGAACAATGAATAAAATGGAGACGTAAGATAGAAATTGGACACATTTCACATCTTCTGTTTCTGATCTTCAATATTGCAAAATTAATTTCAAAATTCTAGACCACTTTGTAAATTTAATTGAACGGTACGGTGGCGTGCAACAATTTCGGACACTCATTTAAACGTAATATTAAAAATGACGCTCTGGTCTGTGCTTAATTATGTCTTAGCAGGAAATTGATGCAGTAGAACAAAAAATGTCTAAAATAAAGTTACAAATACATAAAGGGTATTTCACATTTTATGTCAACGAAATGTTGAACGTGTCCGGAATTTTTTGCTTTCTATTGTACCAGATTTTAATTTTAGATCTTCAGATAGTCATTTGCTTTCAGTAACAAATTCTAGTTCGAAATCACTAAAATATTAAAAACACCAGATTTTAAATAGTTAGTGTCAAATTGTATTAAATTAATAGTTATTTATTGTAAGAGTGTGTTAGGTAGCGTTTTATCCAAGCAAGAATGTTTAACCGCGAGAACGTCAGTTATCCACTAGTGGATAAAGTGGTACTTTATACGCATCTAAAGTGTGGAATAAAGTCTCTTTATAGAGTGATTGTGGATAATAGTTATTTAGTCGACGAGTTTGAGTGTAAATCGGACTCTTTATTTGACCGAGTGGATTTTTAAACTACGAGTGCAACGAGTGGTTTACCATCCACGAGGTGGAATAAAGCGTCCGATTTACACTCAAACGAGTGGAATACAACATTTTATTCTTCGAATTAGAGTCAACAAGGGTTAAACTTGCTTTAAATCTGTTAAAAATAATTTGACGTTTTGTATTGAGAAATGCCAAACAGTTGTCAAAACTTCCTTACACGGGAGAAAAACCGTAAATTTTGACAGTGTCGAAGAATAAAATTAATTAATCAGAAATCAGTTCATTACCCTCATCTTTATGCACTTGTTTCTTTCAACGTCTGAAGTCACACACAGAGTCATCCTGTTGACCTGACACACTCTAACTCCCATAATTATGTTCATAGAACTGCCCAAAAAGTTCGAGTATGTCTGCAAATTTTCGTTGAGTGGTGCAATGTCCCGAGTCATGTCCTACCAAAATTAGAAATAGTAATACAATAATTATTAAAAATTACAAAATACTTGAAATAATAAGTTGCTGTGAATCCCATAACGTGGCGATGATTCAAATAAATTAAAAACTTCATAAAACGTATTATTTCTGTTGTAATCGTAGTAGTCGGGAACGCTATTATTATAGACTGATGGTTGTCTTTTATTTCCATATGGGTCAATATTTTCTCCATATTCCTCTCTGTTAAAGTAGTGTGGATCAAACGGATATTCCTGGCCTCTATCCCTATTTCCCGGTTCATGATCGTATGGACGCTTGTCTTCTCCATATGGCTTATAGTCACTTTGGTTGTGTGGCCGATCGCGTCCATATGGATTGTAATTGTTGTTGCGGTCATATTGTGGCCTATTTGGGTCATATTGCGGCCTATTTTCTTCATACTGAGGAATGTTTGGGTCATATTGAGGCCTATTTTGAGTGCCAAAATCACCGAAATTCTGCCTTTTATACCGATTCGGTCTACCTCCATACTGATCATAATTGGACTGATCAATCCTGTTCCCAAACTGGTCATATTGGGGCTGTCTGTTATCGTAGGAATTTCGGTTTTGATCATCGTAACGGTTTGTCCCATTATTCTGATTTCCAAAACTATACATTTTTGCAGCTTTTTCAAGGAATTTTTGATAAATTTTCCGTTTTTCAAAAGACGACGCTGATGTTGTCACGATTGCGTCTGATGGGACTTTGCCCCAATTGCACGACATGTACTCGTCAATGGGACGTCGGCTACCATCCTTGCATAACAGTTCAAAAGAATCTTTTGATATCGACACTAAAGTAAAAAATGTAAGAAAGGCCAATTACAAAAAAATATAATTACCAAAATTGTCACCAGCTACAAGGGACGGAATCGTCGTATGTTTCACGAAGGCGATTTCTCCAGCTTCTAAGAGACAACGGAATGCTCCCTCATATCCCGAATACGGATCTGAGCTGGTACACCGTCCCCCGGGGATTTTTCCGATACAAAGTTGGCACAACCTATCGGAATTGTCTCCAATGGGGTTGTATTTGCTGGTGAGACAGTTGACAGCGCATGATGGTCCAAAGTATTTCGTGGCCGACTTGACGTGATTATTGCAATCTACAACATCTAACCCACCCTCGTTCATCAACTAGAACCAACAAATTAGTGATTTTAACAAATGGGAGATTAAAAACAGACTGTGTATATTGGAACAACCCATCCAGCGAACGTTTCAACCCCTGCAAAACAAGCCTTGACTCCTCTTAAATCAAATAACGAATTAACGTGGGTCAGGGTCCCCTTTTTGACCGCTGCGACGGCATAATAATGCTGGAGTCCCCCTTCTAAAACCTCTTGGCCAATGGGTACAAGACTGTTGTAGCGACCACCAACAAACACCTCCCCTGCGTCAAGGGTGGTAAGAGTGGCTTTTTCTTGATCTAGTAGACTCATGCATTCTTCTTTATCAAATGCCTAAAAACATGTTGTTACTTTGGTTCATTTTCCAAGACTGGATTTACTTGTAAACATTCAATGTTAAAATAGTCATAGCCCACTCTGATTCGGTCGCGTTCATTTGCCATGGCAAAATTCTTGCATTTCCGTTGCTCTGCTCTGCTAATTGTACACCATATTATCTTGATACGTTTATCTTCAGGCTCTTCAGTGTTAAATTGAGTGGTTTTCCAAAAATTCTGGCCTAAAAGTTAGAGAAACATGAATCATTGATGTGATCCACTAGATTTGATTTTTATTAATTAAATGTTAATTTGAAGGGATAAAAACTGTTAATACTAACTTTTTTTACTTTTATTATGACTGAGGACTAGGAAAAATGCTGAAACTGAGAAAATTGGGAAAAAGTTGGTTGATGAATTATCAAAACAAATGAGTAACAAGACCCCTCCCACTTAACCATGTTATTTCTATTGGTTTGATGTAATTTACCTGCACTTATCACAAAAACACTAAACAATATCAGTAAAGCAAAATAAAGATAAGTCCTATCTTTAAAACCCATTTTTGGGATTATTTTTGATATTATCAAAGCATTTGATAACAGAGGCTTTACACAAAACACGCCCAACACAATGCGAAGAGGGAGATACCAATATATGTGGGACAGAGTCAAAGAATGCAGTCTGTCCCAACGACTAAAAACAAACATTTAAAGTTCAAATTACATTTAAAGGAGAAAATAATCATCAGTACAATTAAACTGTACAAGACTATGAAAGAATAGTCATAATATAGTAAAATGAATAAATAATAAATAGGTAATTTTTTAAATCTTTTTATTTGTTTAGCTACAATCGGGAATACCAACATTAAAACACTGTGAAAAAAAAAGTACTAAAAACCGCAAAATCCAAGTTCTAGAAAAGATTCTTGCAGACTTTGAGACCGTTTAAATTTTTAGTGTTTTTTAAAGAGGGAATAAATCAAAAGCTAATGTCCATAGTACCTAGTTTAAGTTTTCATAGAACATTAGTGTAGTAAAATAGTTGTTAGTGACCCAGGGATGAAGATTAAATTTTTATTAATAAAATTTAATTAGAAGGTATGAATAATAATGTTAGAATATTGTTATATTGTTTTTTTACTTTTATTATGATTGAGGACTACGAAAAACGTTAAAACTGGGAGAAATTTGGTGGATGAATTATCAAAACAAATAAGATTACGCTTTTGACTAAATTTGGAACATAAATGAATTTAAAAAAAAACTTACTCCCATTAATTTTTATTTTAACTCCTAATACAGGGGATAATTAATGGGGTGTGGAGATTGAAAAAAACATTATTATTATAAATTATTTAAATATTTATTGGTTACAATTGGAAACATCAACATTAAGGAAACAAAAGCACTAAAAAAAGGCGGGATTGTCCTGCATTGTCCTAGGTTAGGGTCATGGTTTAAGGTTTACCGTTTATCTTCCAGAAAAAAGGTTCTTGTGTGACTTGTTTGTATTTTGATTGTTTTATTAAATAGGTCCCTATTTTAAAGGTAGATAAATGCCAATAATGTATAAACTGTTTAGATTTTAAGGAGTTACTTATTTGTTTCAGCAAAATGGCTCGTACTAAGAAAACGCCAAAGAAAGGCACACGATTGAGCTCTACGTCTTATTTTATAGGAAACAAACAATATCGTATTCGATTAAAGCTGCTTAGGCTCATTAAGAAATTACAAATGTCTACAGAGATGTGCATTCCAAAAATGCCCTTTTCAAAACTTATTCGTGAACTTCTACAAAATCAACATCGTGAAGGAAGGGATCTCAGGATTCAGAGAAGTGCTTTACAAGCACTGCATGAAGCTGCCGAGGCATATTTAGTTTCAGTTTTTGCAGACAGTAACTTGTTAGCGGCTCATGCAAAACGCGTTACTCTGAAGCCTAGTGATATCGAACTTTGTTTGGTATTAAGAAAGGAGAAAGATGGTGGTATACCATGAGAAATTTATTGAGTGTTATTTTCTTATACTTTACTTTGACGAAATTATAATGAAACTTTAGTTAGTATTTTTGTAACAATACTTTTTGTGTGTAATGTTTTTTTTATTATTTCAATGTTGTAAATTGTAATTTGTAAAGTTAATAAAGAATAATATTTTCATAATCACAGTTATTATTTTTTGTTACGTTGGCATTGCTAGTGTCAAAAATGTCAAGTGCTATACGTCAATTCCGGTAAATTAGCATTTTTATCATTGAAAAAGATGATTTGGGTCGAATATTTGGGCGTTTTCCTTTATTTTCTGAGTTATGTAAATGCGGAATGGAATACAAAAGACTTTATGAAGCGAGAACACAGCCTTATCAAGCCATATTACGGTATGTCCTAAGTGAGGTTAGAACTTTTCTTATCCCGATTTTTCCAGGCTCTGGCATTGAGATTCCATTCTGGCATTTCACAGGAAGCACAATAGTAACCCCCAACTACATACGACTCACTTCAGATCTTCAGAGTAAAGTAGGAGCTATCTGGAACTCTGTGGTAGGTTACCGTTTGTCTCCAACCTTCACCCTTTAACCTCGTCTATTCTTAGCCGGTTAACGTACGCAATTGGGAGCTGCAAGTCCACTTTAAAGTACACGGAAAAGGGAAGGATTTATTCGGGGACGGATTCGCGATTTGGTATGCCAAAGACAGGATGAAAGAGGGCCCGGTTTTTGGCAATAACGACTTTTTCCACGGACTTGCGATCATTTTAGACACTTATAGTAACCACAATGGTCCACATAATGTAAGTAGGGGGCGAAATGCGAATCAAATGTAACCATTCTGCCATTAACAGCACCAACATCCATACATTTCGGCCATGGTCAATAACGGCACCCTACATTATGACCATGACAGAGATGGAACGCATACTCAACTCGCAGGCTGCGAAGCCAAGTTTAGAAACTTGGATTATGACACGCATATTGCTATCAGATATGAAAAAGATGTACTCACAGGTACTAGTTCCGCCCACTTAACCACGCTTTTATCGTCGTTATTTTAGTTTCCACTGATATTGAAAACAAGGCGGCTTGGAAGGAATGTTTCCAAGTCCAGGGAGTGAGACTCCCCACTGGCTATTACTTAGGGGTCTCTGCAACAACCGGAGATTTGTCAGATAACCACGATATTATGTCTGTTAGATTATTTGAATTGGATATGCCTGATGATGTATTTTTTTCAAATGTCGTTGGTATTTTTGATATGTAATTAATATTTTTTAGCCTGAGGCGGATGAAGACAGGTCGAATATTGTTCCCTCAGCCACATTTTTCGAGCCACCACGTGACCATGTGGAGGACCCAAAGCCCTCATCGTTGTCCGGCTTTAAAATCTTCATTTTGATGTTAATTGGAAGTATAGCAGTAGTGGCGTGCGTTGTTTTGGGAATCATGTTTTATCAAAAACATCACGAGAAGAAAAGGAAGAGGTTTTATTAAATCTTCTTAAAGGGGTTACTTTGTATTACTGTAATTATTTGACTGAGCTTTTTTTCATCTTGGTAGGTTAATAGGGTGCCGAAATAATAGTCTGTTATTTATTAAATTAATGTGTTGGTGTAAATATCATTTTTTGAAATGAGAATGTACAAACCATTCAGATGTTTATTTTTTTTTGTTTATATTCTTACAACAATTTACAACATTAATTTAAGTAAACGTACGTACACAATGAACTTAATTGTAACAAAAAAAATGACTACAATGAGTGACTAAAAAAAATATGCTACCATTGTGGCACATTTTTTCCAACTATTTCAGGTTTTTTACATTTGGTTTGAATTTGTTCAAAATTTTATACTTATAAAACTATGTATAAAAGAAAATGTGATTTATAAACAAAAATTTAAATAAATCTTTTTTAAGTATTTATGACTAGTACCATGTATAATTTCTTTTTTTAAGGGCTGTTGACATAAGTACAATTATCGGCCAATATTACAACATACATAAATTTTTATTACAGCTTGTTTCTTCAAGCCGTCAGCAATAAAATAAACTTACATCGATCTTAAAGGATAACTGACACAGCCATAACATTTAATGACGAAAACACCGGGTATACCCTTAATGAATGGATGTCTTTTAATGGTTGGCCAAATACGTATTTTTGGCAAGTTTTGGCATAATCAAACTTAACTAATTGATTCTTCCGTGGATGGGACGTGCTCCAATACAAGACGTGTAGCCCTATATATTTTTAAACGGCGGTTTCTTTAAAAATTTTAACGGGATTATCGATATTTTGGATGTAAATGTATCTTGTGCATGGATCCACTTTGTCTTGAACTTTGGTCACTTTAGTGTCAGTAATTTTTAAACTATTCGTCGCACTTAAGGTCAGGCCTGTTTCAGAAATAACATCGTTAACAAATAATCAACAATTGAGCAATCAAAAAAGAAAACATCTAAAATCAAAAAAAAATTATAATAGCGTGCACTTTTCACACACAAGCACTAAACAACAAAACAGCCACGAGCAAATGCCATTACATCACACTACAACAATTCATTCGATTCCGCCTCCTATCCTTAAATTTCGTTGTCTTTTCGAGCCTAATATCGTCGAAAATGTCCGATTTTCGATCGGATTGCCTATCTTCGCTGCTACACTTACTCCCCGTCTCTTCCTCGAATTCGTACCAATCCTCGTCGGAGGAACTATGATGGCTCTGATACCTGTGTATCGAACTAGCGCTCGTCGTCGAGATCAGTCTCATCCTCCTCATTCGGGGCACCTCAGACATGGCTCTGTTCCTGAAAAAATTCCCGTTGGAGGCGCGCATCTCGACGTTCGCCGATTCCGATCGTGTCATCGGAAACTTACGTTCCAAACTCAAGATATACTCAAGTCGTCTCTTTAGTTGAGCGGCCGACACCGGTTCCGCCTCGTCTTTGATTTTCTCTTCGGGTATCGGCGAACGCGATTCGGCACTTTCCGGCGTGTATGGTTCGTGCGAGAGCATGTCACGTGTGATTGGTTCGTGCAACAGTTGCGAGTCGATCGTCACGTTCGGGTAACTTTTTCGACTATAATCGCACATGTCTACTATGTTTATTGTTACGGAAGCAAATGTTTGGCAACACTGGCAAGTAGCAGGCAAGCATTCGTAAGGGGCGTGCTCGCAACATTTAACTATACCTGAGTTCAATTTCAGCTCCACACGGAGATAGACCGGCTGCAAGGACAACGATATGTGTTAGCTAACGACATTGAGAAACACGACGATGCGATTTTGTTTGCTGCCAGTATTATGTTCTAATGTAACGACGATGACAGAACATGGCGTCGCAACTCCCCCTCACCCACCTGAAATCTCTAATCAACTTTTCAAAAACATCGGACAATTTCAAATTTTCCCTAATCTTGTTCCAAACAAATCCAAAACTTACCAAGTTGATGTTTACAAGAATTGATGTTTTGTAGCAAAAATAAATATTATCGTTACTCCACTCGTACTTTGCATCTTTTCTTCTATTTAAGAAAGAATTATCAACATGTATATTTTAAATGTCAAATCGTTGACCTTTAAACATTTGTTAATAGTTTGTATTTTTATGACCATTATGCTCTGTTAAGTCTATTTATTTTTTATAAATTCGAATGTGAGTTTAAAGTACTAGTCAATTGATATAAAGACTAAGATAAAAAAAAATAAAGAGTAACCTGAGATTTCTCAGGTCAAAATAAAACGATTTAATCCAACTTACCTCTATACCAAGTTGCAGCTTTTAAAAGTTAGAGAACGCCAATGAAATTATATTTTTGTTTGTTTAAATTAATAACTAATTATATTATTGTTAACTAGGTAACAAAAGCAACATAAAACACTAAAACCTAAAAAGTTTTTAATTCAATTTAAAAAAAATGACCAACGTCCAAAATATTAACACATCATCTAAACATTTACTTAAATTATTTTTTTACTCTAAAGCCAAGGTCGATACAAAAATTTTATGAGATACAGAAATCGTTTAAAAATAATGTATATAGCTTTCGAATAAAAAAAGAATTACGCCACTCAGATTACGTATAACAAAAATATGGCCTAAAATGTGTGAAGTTGTTAATAAGTAAGTACTTCACAATAAAAATAAAATTAAAAAAATAGCACCAAAACATGTGGTTTTGATATCAAATTGCCTGTACCAAATTTCATAAAAATCGATTCATCCATTAAGTTATTAAAGAAAAATGAAAACAATTTTTAAATTTTGTTGCTCTCTATCTTTTAAACGGTGCAACTTGGTATAGAGGTAAGTTTGGTTAAATCGCTCTATTTTGACCAGGGGAATCTTTTTCGTTATACCCTGTATTGCATCGTGTTTTACTATGTTGTATGAATTTTTTGTTAATTCTCAAGTTTTGATTATTCTAGGTTATGTATTTAAATTATAATATCTTGCGAGGCAAGCTCACTTCAGAATCTTTGAAATAGTCTCACATTTTAATGTATGAAAAAAATTTAAAGATAAAATTTGAATTTGAGCTCAGTTGACAGCTAAGGGGGAGTGCAATCACCACTGTTCTTTACCATCGTTCTAACTAATTTTTAACTAACTACCGAAAAAAACTAAACAAACAAAAGGCAGAATGAGATACCTTATTCGTTTACCAATATGTGTAAATCCAGAAAAACTGGCTGCACAAATCACAGAAAAAAATCATACAAGACCCTGGACCTGAGTTAATCAACCACATACCTTGTGGTCACCCATGCATGTATCCAAACCCATGAGGCCGTACTCGACTTTTTCTTCTTCATCGACCAATTGTTTCGCAGTATGACTTAACAAAACACGATCGCACCAGGCTGGACATCTTGTCTGCATGTAGCTCCGAGCGTGAGATATATTCTCCTCAAATGGGTACGACGGTGGGAAGTTTATTGGGTACTCGGTGAGGTATTTCTCAAACGCCTCCAACTCCTTATCAAACGTTTTCAACTGAAATAAGGCCACGCTCTTATTACAGCTATCCCCGCCTCCTAGCACCACTTACCCAAGTGGGTGACGGTGTCAGGAAAACTTTCTGGTGGTCCAAATGGTTGAATTCTTTTTTACCAACGGTTAAGACAAGCTGACTGTCCTCGTTTGCAAACTGGAGCTTAGTGTAATCATTATTTTTATTATTTTGAAGTCTTGTGGTTGTTAGCCCTTCTGTCAATTTCTAAAAATGGTGCTGATTAGCGACACGCATTTGTTAGTTATGTTTTTACTTTAATAACGCCCTCCGTGTCAGTTCTAAAGTTGAAATCGCCAAAAACGAAATATGGGGCTTTCCCGTAACGATCGTTATGAAATCTTATAAGGGTGTGTTCAAGGGCCCGACGCCGATTTTTACAATAAACAGAAGGGTAACTCTCCATGGCGATAAAATTGGACGCGTCGTGGAATAAATGTATATTGATTAGGTCCACAACAGTCCCGTTGAGGGACCAACGGGTGCGAAGAAAGCCTTTTCGTGACCATTTGCACTAAAAAGTGAAATTATGTATGTCAGGGTTTGGTCCAAAAGGGTGCCAACCTCTGGGAAAAAATCCTGAGGGAATTTAGCTTTTTCTTTAGTCGCGACGGCTTCGATATTGCCGGAGTGGACTTGTTTATCACTGACTGGAACGAATTTCACGTCGTTAAAGTCCCAAATGAGAACGTTCTCAACAGATTCATGAATAAAATAGAGATTTCCCAAAGCCTAAAACTGGCAATGTTAGAGAGAGTCGGGGCACGGTTTTAAGGGTATTAACAGTGAAATTTTCAGCAGAACTGTAGTCTTCATCCAGAAATATCCTGATCTTGTCAAAAAGCCTCAATTCGTTGCTGGACATGAGTAATTTCACAAAATGCTCGACGTGTTTCATGCTGTTCTCGTAATTTTTCCCGCCGACTTCCTGGCAGTGGAGCGCAATGAATTTTGGGTCTAGTTTCGCGACAGTAGAGAGGAATTCTTCCGTCCAAATCTTGAGCATTTCAGAGGGCTGCAAATCAATATTTAGTTAAAGGTCACTCTCTACTTTAAAACTCACGTCTTCGAATATCGAGCCTACGTTTGCCGTCACCAAAAGGGCCGGAATCGACGGCGAACCCATTTTTTCCGATTTAAAAACCCTTTTTGGTTTATTTAGAAGTTGCCGTTTACGTATTAGAGAACCTGACGTACGTACATTGTGGACAATGACGCGATTTTTCAAGACTTGTACGCATTTTATAACACAACGGAAATCGACACAATTCTATTTTTGTGACCAGAATTTTTAGTGATTCTTCTTGTCAAATTGATGTTTTGTTGAGCACCGGAAATGCGCAAGCGCAACGAGCCAGACTCCACTTTATTGATTTGTTTTCATTTCAAATTACAAAATATGTATGAGATTAAGCTAATTTTGTTTCATTTCGGTGATATTTCTTCAGAGAAATTTGGTTTAGTCAGCCGTCAGAATGACATTTTAAGGTTAGTTACCGACCGAGCGCTACAAGCCAAAAAAGCACCAAATTTAAATCTAAATCGATCTAGTATTCATTTTTGTAACTTTTTCTACCAAGACTTGTAAAAATTCATCGTTTTTTAACTAGAAACAACTCCAAAACACCTCCCACAATTTGATTTTGACAGTTAACAGCTGACATTTGACATTTTGTGGTTAGTAGGTTTATAAAACCGACACACCGCAAGGCGGTTTGTTTTATTATTATTTTTTTAATTTTTGTGTTAGTTTAGTTTCATTTGCATAATCTGTTCTTTACAATATACCAAATGCTGCCGGAACAAAAAGACTTAATTTACAAACATTTCCCTCAACTGGTCCAACAATGTGATTTAGAGCAGATTGTGGAAATTTTGATCGAGAAAGGTACTCTCAATCAGGATTTTTTAGACAAATTACCTCTCGTAAGTCCATTATCTCAATTTTTAAGAATGACGTGAGTCACGTGGAGATTTTTAGGAGCAAAACAGGGCTCATAATAACCGGCAAATTTTATTCAAGTTATTAAATTTGGAAAAAGTGAACACTTTTACGGGGCTTGTCGAAGGTTTAAGAAAAACGAGATGTGATCGTTTGGCTAATATTTTGGAAAATAAGCTAGAGACGATCATTCAAAGTAAGTGGCTATTTTAGTGTGACCTTGAGTGATTTATTTATTTTTTTAGATAATAGTTTGCATCCCTTGGATGTTAACATTGATGTAAAACTTTCGACACAATTTTATGACACTGTGGAATACAACAGGACTGGTTTTTACTCAACTAGGTCAAAAAATCGTGGTTATGTACTCATTATCAACAATATAAATTTTTCACAAGGACATGATGAACGGCATGGGGCGGAGGCCGACGAACGCAATCTCCGCATATTATTTGAAAAAATGGGAATGACGGTATTTTCATACACAGATCTGAACGCCTACGACATGTACTTTAAAACACGAGAGTTCTCTGAAAAATTGCCTTTAACTCAACCAGACATGGGTATCGTCATAATAATGAGCCACGGTTTAGTTATCAAAAATGAAACTATGATAGTTAGTAGCGACAACAAATACTTGGCTGAAGAAAGCTTTAAAAAAATTTTCAACAACGAGAATTGTGCCTTATTTAGGAAGAAGCCTAAGATTTTTATTTATCACATCTGCAGAAATGTTCTTACAGAATCAGTGACTAAACAAACTTTTACTGATGCCATTTTGTCAAATTCGCTCAGGACATACAGCGACATGCTCATCTGCCATCCTTCAGTAAAAGGTAATTAACTATACGTAAAATACTTCAAAATAATGATAATATGATTGTAGGTTTTTCTGCTTACAGAAACAGTATTAAAGGTTCGTGGTACATCCAGTTATTATGTAAGGTATTTATGGAACACGCTCATGACATGGACATTGAATCTCTACTGAGAAAAGTTGATGAAGAGTTGGAAGTTGTCTCTTCCATGCCTTGGGAAACACAGAATGCAAATGAAGGAACTCAGCAAACGTCCACGTTTCAAAATATCGCATTTAAAAAATGTTACCTTCATCCAGGATTGTATGAAGAGGATGGAAAAATGATGAAATTTTCCCAAAACCAATGACGCTTATTAAGGTGCTAACTTAGTCAGTAAGGTGCAATAATAACATTCCTATTTTGTTTTATTTACAATGTTAATATTATTTTGTTTAATGTGTAATAAAATCACGCAATAAAGCGACTATCATATAGATTTATGTTTATTTTTTGAGCCTGCAGCACATAATTGATAAATCTTAACTAAAAATAGACATTTCAAAATAGTATTCAATTATTAAATGTCCTAATTAAATATCAAAATAACAAAAACCGGAATAATATAATTTATTATGACGTTCTAGTAACAAAATACAAGTTGTTGCTTTAAACTTAAAAATTGGAACTTAATTTTTCTTTCATCATTATTGATTACATTAGGGAAAGGTAAATGAATTTAAAAATTAGCGGGTTGTATGGTGTTTTTTTGTGTTCTTTCGTTGGTGCCACACTTTTCGAAGGTTATGTTGCTGTTGTTTTGTGTCCATTGTTGTCACAATTTTAATATTATGTGTTTCTTAGAACTTCTTTATTCTGGAGAATATCCTTTAGTACCGTTCGTATCATAATTGTGTTAATTAAGAGAAAACCAAAATGCTGCCCGAACATGAAAGTCTGATTTACAAACATTTCCCCGATTTAGTGAGGGACTGTGATTTAGAACGAATCATGCGAAATCTTTCTTATAATGAACCTATAATTGCCAAAATGATGGATAATGTTAAAATTGTTGGTAGCTCTTGTACTACAGGTAAAAAAACTAATAATTTTTATTATTAGGAGGAGGACCGCCGTCACAACAATCGCTGCATTCTTTTCCAACTTGTGAAAACTAAATCTACCACAGTTTTCTCTAAATTAGTTGAGACCTTACGCAAAAGTAATTACCACGAATTGGCAGACAAACTTGAAGATAAACCTCCAAGTAAATATGTTAGAAATTTGCTCACTTTAATTACATTTCAATAACATTTTTAGCTCGACTTTACATAGGCACAACTGCTTGCAATAGACCACCTGATAGTCATTTGGAAAAGTTGAAAATTGAAGTAAAATACGCAACGAGATTCTGTGATACTGACGATTTTTCTTACAAAACTAGGTCAAAAAATCGAGGTCAAGTTTTGATAATTAATAATATGGTTTTTGAAACTGAGCGACACATAACGAGACGAGGAGCTGAAGTGGATGAAGAAAATTTGAAAGAATTATTCGAAAAAATAGGATTTTACGTGGATTTGTACCGGAATTTGAGTCGAGATGTCCGTTCTTGATTTTTTTAGTTGTCCGGGATTAATAATTTTTTGTAGGAGATTAAAACTGTCGTTAAAAAATTTTCGGAGAAAGAATATAAAGAAGCCCCTGACATGGCATTTGTGATAATAATGAGCCATGGCGAAAAAATCGACAACAAAACGGTCATAATTGGAAGCGATGGTCAAGCAGTGGAGGAAGAATGGATCATCACGCAGTTCAATAACCAATCTTGCACACTTTTTCGCAACAAGCCGAAAATCCTAATTTTCAATATCTGTCGAGGCGATTTAGTTGATAATTTGGTCCACTTTGCGCAACAGACCCAAAGCGATTCAGCGTGTACTAAAAAGGGGGAAGTTGGCGATGACGATCAGCGATATTACAGCGATTTGATGATTTGTCACCCTTCAGTTGAGGGTTTTCAGGCGCACAGAGACATTGTGAGAGGCTGTTGGTACATCGAATTGATCTGTACAACTTTCATGGAGAATTCCTATCAAGTCGATGTTGAAACAATGATGAAAATGGTCGAGAGAGGGCTGAAAAAACGAATATCGGAAAAGTTGACGCGACAAACGTCCACTTTTCTTAATATAGCTTTCAAAACCTGTTACTTGAATCCGGGGATTTACGAAAAGGATGGCCACATTGCTCTATTTGAGCAGTCGCAGTCAGTTTGACGTGATCATATTAATAATTAAGTTATGCAATATTTTACAATGATTTTATTAAAATAATTTAAAGTATTTTGTACGAAAGAGAACTTTTATTTATTCCACCTTTATCACCTAATGAAGTAAGTGATTTTTTTTGTATTAGCAGAAGTATGAGTAGATGTTTCATAAACATAGTAAGCCAATTCATTGCATTTGATTCTCGGATAAGAAGAGACCTCTTTTTTATTGTTTTGGTACAAGTTGCTTTGTAAATAATTTTTAATTTGTTTCACTACCGAGATTGCGCATTTTATTAGAGCTTGCGCCGACAAGCTTAATCCCTAAGAAGATATTTTTAAAATTGTTTCTAAATTTGCGATCGTTGACCTTAATCTATCGGTTATAAATTTTAATTGATTTTTATTTCATATTATTGCATATTTTTAAATGTATTTTAATTAATTTTACTATTTTCATTCATTGAAGAAGTCAACAATTTTGAACTTAAAATTTTATTTCACATACTTTAAAATTGCATTTTATAAATTGTGAATGCGTATAATATACCTATACCAAATAATAAGTAAACTTCTCTTGTTTTAGCGATATTAAATTAGCAAATTTAAAAATTTGTTACAACAATAAGATGTTGCATAAAGATTACGACGTTATTCAAGAATACGCACTTTACAGATATCATAAAACTTTCATAAATACTAAATTTATTTAAATTAAAGAAATATATGTATAAACAAACAATCAAATAAATAAATATAACCAAATTACTATAAATTGATATGTATTTTTTCTTCTGTTATAGAGTTTTATAAATTGTCATAGCTTGCAATAAACTTGCAAAATGTGGGGTTTTAATATGTACACATTACTGCTTATTATATTATATTATTAAAAATTAAGTTACGCATTGTTAAACGATGATGTATAACAATATTTTTGTACAATAAAAGACATTCATTTAATTTAACTACATTTACCATTTTGTATTCGTGTTTGTTTATTATTCCTATTATTTTTGAAAGATAGATACCTACTTTAAGGTTTGATGCTTATTATTGTTGAGGAGGGCAAAATTTTGAAAAATCAGTTAAGAAATAAAGAGTGGACAGTTTGATTTGTCAAATTTTGGTTGGTTGATACCACCGCGGTTGGACCTACGTTGGGTTGGTTAGAGCAGTAAAATACTTTATAGGTACTTGAAATTATTATATATCTATCGACATCAGTAAAGAAATTTGCGAAAAAATGAAAATTATCACTATTATTAAACACCCATTGTGAAATCGTTTTTTTTTTATTACTTAGGTATTTCAAGTTGATCCAAATCGAAAACAGAATAAGTCTTACTCACGCTTTTATCGCAGTGATAAGAATATTATAAATTATTATAACGATAACTGAGTTTAGCGAGCTCTGAGTTCAGTTAGTGTGTAACTATGAATGATGATGGACTTAATACTTGTTAGCTTTGTTTTACATTGTTCATATAAATATTAATTGTATTTTTCATCGTTTTTGTGTAAATTAATTATTAAGTGATACACATTTTGTTCGTATGTGCCTATAATCATTTGTTATCTTATCTGAGAAACTATCGTCACAAAGGAGGAAAATCATTGGGGAGATTCGAAAATGTGGTCGAAAAAGAACAAAGAAAAAGACGAGAAAAAAACGGTTGTGAGGTAAGATTTCTTTAGTTTTATTTTGTGTTATTTGTTGAAAAAGAAGGATATTTCATTTCTCAATTCTAGGGCAAGTCAAACTCAAGTAACTCAAACTAGTCAAACTGTGACAGTTAGGTATGTTTCATTTGCGTTTTGTTTTACAATTTTTGAATGTAGTTTTTGTCCAGAACAATTGAGCAACGATCTCAGTACATTTCTGTTCATAATAACAACAGTGGTACTAGTTCAAATCCTAGTTTATTGTCGGGGGTTTCAGGTAAGTCTTATAAGTTATAACTGTCATTTCTAGCCAATTCTATTATTATGTTTTGTATTTTAGACAAATCAAACCTCTTGGCTCTTCCAAACCCTCCAAGAGCGAGGTCATCATCAATCTCCAATCCAGGGTTTACCTCAGATGCTAAGCCTATTAACATAAATTATCAAAGTCCTTATAAGCATAATTCTCCCGTCTATGGTGGTACCAACATTTACCCACCATCAAGAGCTTTGTCAAGGCCTGTCCAAAACCAAAATAATTTCAACCGAAATTCTCCCGCTTATAATAGTTTTTTTCAATCCTCACGACCCCAAACAGCTTTGCCCCCAGTTTTGCCGGGAACCGTCCAAGAAACTGGCTCCAAAAAGAAAAAATTGGTAGTAAAAAAAACCGGGAAATTTTACGACGCCGCTTGTGTAATTCCAACTTATGAAACCCACTCAAAAAACCGGGGAGAAGTCCTAATTATAAACAACATAATGTTTAAAGATAAAGGCTATCGAGAGGGGGCCAAAGTCGACCATGAAAATCTCAAAGAATTGTTCAAACAAATGGGATTTAAAGTAACATTTGAACGCGATTTGAAAAAATCGTCCATGGAATCGACCATCAAAAATTTCAGTAAGAAATCCTCACTGAAGAATGCAGACATCGCAGTGGTAGTCGTAATGAGTCACGGCACCCGAAACGAGACTCTCGGAGGCACGGAAATTTTCGGTTTGGACGAGAAGGGCATCCTCGTTGATGATCTCTTGGATTTTTTCAACGAAGAAAATTGCAAATATTTGAAAGGCAAACCCAAAATATTCATTTTTCAGTGTTGTCGTGGAGACAACGAGCAATTTATTGAAAGTGATGCTACTCGCATCCCAAGTAGAGTACCAGTTCTTGCCGATGCCCTTATCGCTTATTCTACTCTGCCAGGTGCGTTTAGTCTGCGGTTCGTGTCAAATGGTTATTTTGTTTTTTTAGGGTTTTTGTCGCATCGGGACACCACTTCGGGGACTTGGTACATCAGTACTTTGTGTGACGTGTTCAGCCAGCACGCTCATGAATACCACGTCGAGGATTTGTTGAAAATGGTCGATGTTCAGTTGACAACAATAAAAGGCAGTGTGCGACAGACGACGCACTATGAGAACAGGGGGTTCAAGAGGTGCTACTTGCATCCAGCGTAAAATGTTGAAGCTACATTTTGTTTTAAGTATTTTTTTTATTCAACAGACGCATAAATAATGCATAAATTAACTTATTCCTATTTAGATCAATTATCATACGTCATGTATTTTGTTTATTGAAAATTGACTGAAAAAAGCGGCTGTAATTTTATGTATCAATAATTACTTTTTTCATAATTGTTTAGTGTGCCATAATATTTTTATATTACATAAAGTCAAAGTTCTTGTTCTAAAAAGTTAAGGCTGTGGCCCTGTGACCGTATTTTAAATAATAAAACGTTTCGTGTTTAGTGTATTTTTATTATTTAAATAAGCACTTCAATTACAACAGAAATAATAAATAACTATGTACAGTCAAAGAAATTACAATGTGGTTCGACATCGAACCGCGTGACCTGCAAAGAGCTGATCGCCCCTATGTAACGACAAGGAAAATGCGTTACTTTGTACAGCAAATACCAACTAAATCACAAAGTTCAGAGCCAACTTCGCTGTTTAAAAAACGAAATCAAATGCTTGGCATATTTGGTTTGAAAACGGAATAACTGTACGCTTTACATTATTATCACACTGAATTTGGTCCGATATAATATTTTACGTGTCGAAAGACATGAATCGTCCTTCAGTAGTAATATTTTGTTCGAATTCTCTCAAGAGAGCCTCGGCTTTGCTCAGTTCAACCGTCTCGAAAAGTTTTTCCGACTCGTCATACATGTACTGACTACCGTCCATGTTAAATTTCAGACCTAAAACTATATTGAGTGCTGACGTATCGTAGCTATGGCACCCGGAGTATCGATATTGGGGCTTTTTATCGAAACGACATCCTGCCGACTGCGCCCCAATCGGAACGATGCAGTCTTGAGTCAACGCGCACTTGACCCAAGGCAGCATGATTTCGTTGTGCACCGATTCCGTGTTAACGATCAAGAGGACGTCCGCGTTCACCATTTGCAGGAAAAGAAAATTCTCGGCGTCGGTGTGAAAGTATTGGAACATCTTCTTGTGCGTCAGACTCGAAACTGGGTTTTTCAACGACATTGGCCACGTGACGATGCCTTGAGACTTGGCGCGCTTCTCAAATAGATCCATTATGACGTCGTGGGTTAAATGGCGGGAAAAACGATACCCGCACTCCAGGAACAACACGGCGCCGGTGCGCTGAAGAGCGTCCTGCAACAATAGCACCACCTTTTGTTTACACCTTAACTTAATTTGAAAATCATAGGCCACTTTGATCAAAAATCAGGTCACTATACCTGGATTACAAGGGGTCTGTAGGCTCGTATGCTCTCCTCGTCTACGTGGGAGGGAAAAGCGGACAGACTTAGGGTCAAGGCCTGGCATCTACTGTTGTTGCAATAATTTAAGAGCTGTGAATTGTTTTAGTTTAGTGGAGAATTTTGAGAAAAAATAAAAATTACCGTTTTTAGGCCATAATTACCTAAACCAAGGTTATAAACTAGAATTGTATTGTTTGGCAGAACCCTTCCTACGTTATTAATAAGTCCTACAACTTGACTTTCCTGTCCTTCCATAACATACGTGACAATGACAGGCAGTGAAGTATTCCTCCAGATGTCATTTGGATACAATCTAGGGCTATCTGTGAACCCTAACAAAGTCAGGTATTTGTCGTCAGCGGCAAGAGTTTTCGCATCAGCATCTCGGAACGTGTCCTAAAACCACAACAATATTTCTTTTTCCAAAATTTTCCCAAAAGACGCACCTTAAAATTGCGGATTTGTTGGTGGGTGGTGGAAACAATATTCTGAATCGTTTCCGGCTTATGTTGTCGAAATATAATCAAAAATAAACTAACAATGATTATTCCGAACAGAAACCTGATGAAATTCTTATTCTTCATTGGGGCACAACACGATTTCCATTCAAAAGTCCCAAGTATTAATTTTGCATTCACATGATAAAATAACTATTTGGGGACCAATATCAAGTTAAGTAACGTCTGCTAACTCACGCACAAGCCTCGGATTTCCATTATTTATAAAAATTTTCGATAAAATCACATGAAGAGGTTAGTCATTTGACAGTTGATAAGACGTGAAGTGAGTCACTAAAGGAGCTGTCACGCACCTTAAACACTTTAAATTTTGATTTGGCACAATTAAAACCAATTTATTTTAATCACAAGTCGTACAATTAATATAATCAGACACGTTCACTAGTTTTAATATGATGTTCTGGACTTGGACAATTAATTTTTGGCGACTGCAGCTAACTTCACATCAGTTGGATTAATCCTAACCTCAAAATAAAAAAATGTCACAAATAAACAATTCCCTGTAATTAGTTTACAGATCAAAAATTTGCCAAAATGAGTTATAATTCGGGAGACGAACAAAGTGAGGATGGAGAGTTGAGGCAAAGTCCGGAAACTTCGAGACAGAAGGATGAAACGATGGACTTCAGGTTAGTTCTCAAGGGGGCTGTTACATCGTGAACCAATGTTTTAGTTTTTGAGACTCATTTGTGTTTATTTCAGTTTGTCCGAAGAAGATGGTGAAAACATCGATTCACTAGACATCAAGCCTCCTCAAGCCCGAGTGTCTTCCCAAAGTTCGCGGAACAAACGTCGTGAGGGTCACGAGAGTCGTTCCCACCACAAACGTTCAGAGCGTCATCGCGAAGAAAGACATTCCCATCGTGAAAAACATCATCGAGACAAGCAGTCGCGGTCAAACAAGGAGCGTGAACATTATCAAAGGGAAAAAGAACGTTACTACCGTGAACAAATGGCTTACAGCGAACTTCAATATTACCGAGAACGAAAGGAGGATCCTTCAAGATCAAGACATTCAGATGCGCGAAAATATGAAGAAAAGAAAGTCAAAGAGGGACGTGGGGCTGACAAACACAGAAGGTATGAGGAAGAAAAGAGAGATAGAGCAGATAAGACACTGCAGGATTTAAGGGAGAGGTTGCTGAGCAAGAGGACGACTAAAGGTGACGATTTGGATAAAGGTGAAAGAGAAAAGGATAAAAAGTACAGAGAGGTAGAGACACTTGATAGTGCGCTACAAGGCGAAGCGGGGATGTACGTGAAAGAAATTATTAATATAAGTACGGGAGAAGAACATAAGAGACATAAGAGAGAAGAAAAAGAAGAGAAATTAACGGAAGAAGAAAGGGCGCAACAGGAATTAAGGAAAGAGAAATTGTTAGAAGCTGAGCGCGAAATGGCCAGAATGAAGGAACAATCAAGGATGGAAAGAGAAAGACGCCATCTGGAAAAAGCAGCCAAACGAAAGCAACAAGACGACGAAGATTTTTACAATAAGAGATTAAGAGTGGAGGAGTCGAACGTCGTCATGGTTTCAGACAACTCAGATGAAGAAATGGAGGTTCAATACGACGAGACTGACAACAAGAGCGATCATAGTGAAGAAAGTGCGAGGAGCAGCACCAACTCTAGGCACTCTCGATCTGACCATTCTTCCGATTCAAGGGAACGAAGCGTTTCCTCGGAACGGAAATCACGATGTAGGAGTGTAAGCAGCGAGCGTTCGGCGTCAGTCTCACCAAAAAATGGCCGCGAACCGTCTGAAGAAAAAGAAACCGTTGAAGATAACGAGAAGAAAGAGGAGATTAACAAACCGAAGATTGATGAAGATTTGCCTCCGTATTACCCAGCGGTGCAGGGCTGCCGGTCGGTGGAAGAATTCCAGTGTTTGAATCGGATTGAAGAAGGCACCTATGGGGTGGTATACAGGGCCAAAGATAAAAGAACTGAAGATATTGTGGCTTTAAAAAGACTGAAAATGGAGAAAGAGAAGGAGGGGTTCCCGATTACATCGCTACGTGAAATTAACACTCTTTTGAAAGGACAACACCCGAATATTGTCACAGTGAGAGAAATTGTTGTTGGTAGCAACATGGACAAGATTTTCATCGTAATGGATTACGTGGAACACGATTTGAAATCGTTAATGGAGACAATGAGACACAAAAAACAAAATTTTATGCCGGGGGAAGTCAAATGTCTTCTCAAACAATTGCTACTGGCCGTGGCACACTTACATGACAATTGGATTTTGCACCGAGACTTAAAAACTTCAAACCTTTTACTCTCCCATAAGGGGATTCTAAAAGTTGGAGATTTTGGTTTGGCGAGAGAGTATGGCTCGCCCTTGAAGGCTTACACTCCTATTGTTGTAACTTTGTGGTACAGAGCCCCAGAGTTGCTTTTATGTACGAAAGAATATTCAACTCCTATCGATATGTGGTCTGTGGGGTGCATTTTCGCCGAACTTCTCCTGATGAACGCACTTTTCCCTGGAAAATCCGAAGTGGATCAACTTAATAGAATCTTCCGTGATTTGGGGACTCCTAGTGAGAAAATCTGGCCCGGATTTAATAAACTACCGGCCGTGCAAAAAATGAAATTTAGCGATTACCCTGTCTCGAATTTGCGTACTAAATTCAGCATGTTAACGGATTTAGGGTTAAATTTGTTAACCAAGTTTTTGACTTTTGATCCCGCTCAAAGAGTCACAGCGGAGGAAGCTTTGCAACATACTTATTTCAATGAAGCGCCGCTCCCCATTGATCCTGCAATGTTTCCAACTTGGCCGGCCAAAAGTGAATTAGGTCAGAAAAGGGCTTTAGCTGCGAGTCCCAAACCGCCAAGTGGGGGTGGAGAATATAAGAAATTGGTCGGTATTGGATTTATAATTTATTTTTGTTAATTTTGTGTTATAGGGAGGCGATGGTGACGATGACGGTTACGGATTCCGGATAGGGATGGGTGTGGACAATAGAAGAATGGGGGGCGGGTTCAGTCTCAAGTTTTAGTGCTAATTATAATTTATAATGTATATTACAAGAAAAAGTAGAAAAATTGTCATTTTTATTAACCCAACAAACAATAATGAAAAAAATTTGTTTAATTTCATTTGGGGATTTTTTGTTTTAGTCGCCATGTTGGCAAGAAATGACGTTTGAGTAATTATTGAAAAAATTTTTCCTGTTTTGTGATGTTTCGTGTATTTTCTTATTGAACGTGTACAAATTAGTTAATAATGTCGGGAAGTTCAATAAATAAAGAAAATTCGGAAGACACATTTGGCGATAAATCGCCTACAAATGAAGATTTGAGTTTGAGGTTAGTAATGTTGTTTTGAGGCTCTTTAGACTACTTTTCTTTTAGACTGATGATGGCAACGGCAGAAAGACTGGCCGAGAGCACGAAAAGAAGACATCGGGAAGATTATCGTGGGCATTTCAGGCATGAAAGAGCGGACGGCTTTAGAGAGAAGAGACACTCGCATAGGGACAGACACCACAGGTAGGGGGGACTATTTAGAGCGATTATTTTTGTTATTAAATATTATATTTTATGTGATACAGAGATCGGCGACACCGCTCGATGGAGCGAGACAGATCTCGCCACCACCGAAAAAAATCTCATAGAGATGAGAAAGATACAAAAGGTAACTTACTAGGATCAAAATACTCTGATTCATGTAAGTATGATGTACAGAAATCAAAAGATTTTAGAAATTTAAATCATGACTCAGAGAATAGGAAAAATGAAACTGAAAATGCAATAGAAGAATCTAAAACATTTAGTGAGATTTTAGAAGATGATTTTAAAGATTTAGAATCGGATATTACACCGCCTTCAGAAAAAAGGCTCAAACTAGAGGAAGACAGTGATGAAAGTACTGAAAGTAAGCTCAGTGAAGAAATAATAGAGAAATCGGAAGAGCCTGATGAAAAACGTGAATATGATGAAACTCTACCTCCTTATTACCCTGCCATTGAGGGTTGCCGGTCACTGGACGAATTTCAGTGTTTAAATCGTATCGCTGAAGGCACTTACGGTGTAGTCTATAGGTTTAAAGATAAAAGAACAGACGATATAGTCGCCCTCAAAAAACTGAAAATGGAAAAAGAAAAAGAAGGCTTTCCAATTACGTCACTGCGCGAAATCAACACCCTTCTCAAAGGTCAACATCCAAATATTGTAACTGTTAGAGAAATTGTAGTTGGTAGTAATATGGATAAGATTTTCATCGTGATGGATTACGTCGAACACGACCTTAAATCTCTCATCGAGATGATGAGACGCAAAGATCAACATTTTACGCCAGGAGAAGTCAAATGTCTTCTCAAACAATTGCTAGCGGCAGTCGCACATCTCCACGATAATTGGATTTTGCACCGCGATTTGAAAACATCAAATCTACTTTTATCGCATAACGGAATTTTGAAAGTCGGTGATTTTGGATTGGCGAGAGAGTATGGATCACCGTTGCGGCCTTACACTCCAATAGTGGTAACACTGTGGTACAGAGCGCCGGAATTGCTGCTTGGTGTCAAAGAGTATTCAACGCCGATCGATATGTGGTCAGTCGGGTGTATTTTTGCCGAATTTTTATTAATGAACGCAATTTTTCCCGGGAAGTCTGAAGCCGAACAGCTCAACAGGATTTTTAAGGTTTGTTATCTTCCTTAAAAAAATATGTATGTAACTCTGGAATTAAGCGTGATGGCTGTGTTAGGTGGATATTCTTATGTTTTAGTGTCTGGGGACGCCGACTGAGAAAATCTGGCCCGGTTTTAACAAGTTACCTGTGGTTCAAAAAATGAAATTTACGAATCATACGGTATCGAATTTGCGTAAACGATTTCAAATGTTGAACGATTTGGGTCTAAGCTTTATGTTGAATTTTTTGACCTTTGACCCTCACCAAAGAATATCAGCCGAGGACGCTTTAAAACATCCGTATTTTAGTGAATTTCCTCCTCCGATTGATCCTTCTAACTTTCCTAAATGGCCGGCCAAAAGCGAATTGGGCCAGAAGAGGGCGGCTGAGGCTAGCCCGAAGCCGCCGTCTGGTGGTGGAGAATATAAAAAATTGGTAGGTTTGACTTTCAAACTGAGTTATGGATCAAGTTGTTTTTTGTCGATTGTTGGCTTGTTAAAGTTTTGTTTCAGGGTGACGAAGACGGGTTTAGAATAGGTCTCGAGAATGACAATAGCAGGATAGGAGCTGGATTTAGTTTAAAGTTTTGAAAGTAGATTTTCTATCAATGTTCCGATTATTGAATAAATTTCAGGTACTTTGAAGAGAACTTTTATTTTCGAGACCCTTTTCTCTCGTATTTAAGATCGTAGTGAGAATTTAATGAAAAGTAAACATACTGTATAATGCTCTTAAACTGCCGGACGCTGATCTAGATTTAAATATTTACTTTCCTTTAGGTTGTTGGAGATTACGTTTTTGCAATTCGATTAGTTCGAGGTCATGTATTGACATAATGTTCGTAAAATTTCTTGATGTATTGCATAAAGTCGATTCTTTTGACGTAGACAATATTTTATAAGCTCAGGCAAGGACAAGACGTGTGCTGTAACACGATGTGATATTTTTTGGCTCAGATGTAATTTTTCCGATTGGGAATGTAACCGGGCCGTAAAACTTGGTATTTTTCTTAGGTTCGTGAACAGCGCGATCACATAAAGTGACACGACAAGGTAAGCAACCAATTTGCTCGTCTTGACCTTATTCGACCGAATTATTATTATTATAATATCGAAAAATTTACGACAAAATACAAGTTTTTACACAAATAGATAATTCAATTGAAAATCAAAGATACTGACTGGAATTTGAATCTAATTTAATGAGATTTTTCTAATGTCTTAGTTTTATTGGTTTTGTTTTCATCGATCACTAAAATGGCGATAGTTTTAGCTGAACATTGCATTTTTTTAATTGTGGACCTGATGTGAATTAGTGCACCCTTTCCTTGTAAATCGTCACTTAACGCCACTACATTATAATTTAAAATTCTCCTTAACGACAATCCTTCCATAAATCCTCCAAGTGCAAAAAAGCTTTTAAGATAATCTATCAATGACAAGAAATATTAGGGCAATTCGCGCAATCAATATACTTTCATCTCGAAAATCTCTGGAGTATGCATCTAATTAAAAATTGTAGCTCGAACCTTTCAGGATTATTTGATAGTAATCGATCGACGAACGTCTCAATTATTTATATTCGTCTCTAGGAAGACAATGGGATTATAACCCAAGGGTCCCCGCTGCACCTCACCTTTCTATGAATGTTTTATCTTGGCGAAGTAGAATTTAAGCATGTCTTGTCTGAATTTATTATGCACTTAAATCTGAAATCTTTTTTTAGGATTTAGTTTGTTCAGGTGAAAATTGCGGCGATAAATAATGTCGCACCGCAGTGCGCAATTTAATTTTATAAACTTGATTCGACGACAGGAAATTGGAACGGAAGCGTCAGTTTTAATACCGGTAATGCTACCGAAGACGGCATCAAAAATACAAAAGCCGACGTACCAGCCGTAAATTAAGACACTTTATTACTCCTCGTAAAAAATTAAGAAATTGCCAAACACCTGCAGAGACAGCGTAACGTGCTGTTTATTACCTGACCTCATAATTCTATTTTTCCCTTTTAAAGGAAGTTGCATCTCGAATGTAATTGCATACATGCGGAAAGGGCCACTTCCTGCACTTTCGAACACGTAAACACATAAATTTCCATAAATTCCGAGTAATATTTGAAATTGGAGGAGTAGGAAGCACGCCGCTTGCCCCACCCCACGTTATTATCCAGAGCCGGACTGGAGAGACACATAAAACGGAAATATGTTGGCTTTCGCAGATAAATCACTGGCATTTTTCCTCCACTTGTCTCGTTGAAAAAAAAGGACCTACGTGTCGATGTATCACCTCTGGATACGTTCCAAGCGGTCAATAATAACCGACATACCTTTATCGGCGTATGAGTTATGTAAAGCTCTTCAGCTATGTTGCAATCGCATCTTTAAAGCTTTGTGTGCACCAGTGAAGAGCTCAACTGTGACAGAGACGTACTGCTTCCGGGTAACCGGCTAAGAGGCAGATTTTTTACACGAGCGCCCGGATTCGGCCGGAGTAATCCTAAATAACGTCTAATTTTTTTCGGCAATCCAGCTAAAAAAACTCGAAAAATTGGATATGCAGAGTGAAGAATCAGATGCACGAATGTGGAAAGAATTGCTACTAAAATGTTTCATAAAATTTTTAATTGTTTTGTTAATTCTTTTATCAGAAACACAGTTTATGAACTGATTAAAAAAGAGCACTGTTATTATTTATATCTAATTATTGTTTGCCAACTGTGAACTGGAATAAATATAAAATTAAAATGTGTCAAAGTGGTTTCGCAAATATTTGCTTTGAAATCGTGTAATTTACTTACGCCCACTTTACGGAAAATGTAGGTTACATAAATTTATTAAAATTGTAATTTACTTATATGTAAAATAACACGAGAGATCGAGAGTTGCTCATAAATTTTTCTATGAGCCATTGTTTCGTAGCTATTGACGTTTTTATGATATTTTATTGCCTTCAAAAAGTTAAAAACTGAAACTGTGTTTATCAAATTACAATGTTGCGAATAATCAAAATAATGTTTTACTTTTCTCCGAGTTGGTAAAAATGTTTACAGTTGAAACTTTCTTTTTAGAAACTATTAAAGATTTTTATGTAATAAGTAATAATAACATTTTCAGGCCCGATTTTTTTCTGTATTTAAACATGACACTAAAAATAAAAATATTAATTTTCAAATCAACGACCCGTTACATCTTTAAGTTGTTTGTGGATACTTTTAGCCGACCCGCAATTTAAATGTATTATGTTGGTACAAAATTTTGCAACGTTTCTGTTTTTCAATGATAAATCACGAGCTGGTATAATTAACAGGATTTCATTTGTTCTTTAATTAAAAAATATTTGATTTTATGAATTGAATGAATTTTCGAGTATCAATCATTAAAATTATTTGTGAGTTTTTGTGGCGTTCAAATCATTATTATTAAAAACCTTTATTGAAATATGGAAATGTTGAATGTCGACACATTTTTTGTTTGTTTAAAAGCGTGCAGGTGATTCTGTGCCAAACACAATGCTTGCAGTTGCTGTGGGGCGAGTTATGAAAAATCAGTACTTTTTGAACACCATATTTTATATTTAGTTAGTTTTTTTTTATATTGACAAGACTAGCTCTATTATTGTTTGTGTAGTCAGATGGGAAAGTGACTGGAAGTCATACTCGTGTATCGATACTTTTTTCAGTAGTATTTGATCGTGGCTTGGAATTGAATAATGTTTTTTTAACACGTTCGATATTGTGTTTTGTATTTTTTCGTTTGGTGTTCGATTTTTCGTTTTCGGCAAGCGTCCTATCAACTTTTTCAATTCTGGAAGAAGATGAGACACTTATGTGTTCATCCCGGGCCAATTCCTGCAAACCTCGGCAATCTGTCGCTTCTAAATATTGCAAGCAAGTCGTTCTACCGTTTCTCATTTGCACATCAATGTAGCTGTTCCTTCGTGTTTATATGTTCGGCAGTGGCTCCATAAAAACTTCTACCATATCAACCCTCATAGACGACTAAATAATTCATGCGTAAAATTGAAATAGACATCACCGCTAGAAGAACTCCTCAAGGTGTCGACTAGTATTTCCTTCCGTTATTCTTTTATAAACCTTCGCGATTTTTGTTTCATCCTTAGGGAAATGAACAATTTTCCGAAAACTTTTAGTTTAATCTGTTTTCCGGCAAATTATTGTGTCAGGAAATTGAACACGTAGGCTTGAAATTTAGCAATGAAAGGGTTTTACCGCGATAAATCAGAAACTTTCTGCCCCAATTCGAAAAGTTGTAATTTTATTGCATCGATAATCCATTTTTTTCATTTAATTGTAAAATTTTTGGACGTCTATTAATTCTGTTTTTGTCGGTGCAAACATCAAATAATCAACGCCATTAATCCCAATTAGGGAGCGGACGGTGGCGTTAAATATGCATGCAGGACAAAATCAATTGTTAAAAATTTTCAATTAAAACTCCCGTCAAAAATGACGCTCTGAAACATCTCCTGTATATGCAAATTTATTACAGCGACAAGCCGTCTCGCGACGTGTCCTTCGTTCGCTTTAATTAAAGAATATTTTTCGCACGTCATATTTTTGAAACTTTTAAAGCAAGAAAAGTCTGACGTCTTCGTCAATAATTTCAAAGAGTTTACATGAAAATCTCTCCAACACCAAAGTTATCAAAATGACCGGAAATAAGGTCTTTCCGTCGTAAAATTGCAGGATATTTCCGCAAAGGTAAATGTAGTTTTGGTGACAGCAGTTAATTTATAATCCGGAATAGCAAAATACACACCATTGTCCATTTTCGTCATTTCTAAAGCATTGTATTGCGAAACACAGGCCGGATTTGCAATCAATAGAATTTACAGATTCAATGTTGTTGTGTTTAATAGGAATTAGCTTCTAATACGAATTAAATTTGGACAGTTTTTTATTTTAGTAAATACAAATTTAATACCTTTTACATTACAAAAATTAAGTTTGTAGAGGTTTTCAATTTGCAATTTTTATAAGTAAAACATCTAAGTAAATATCGTGTATTGTAAACTGCTCATATCACAATGAGAATATTTGTTTTTTAATATACTATTATCGTTGTTTTTCAACTTTGAAATACACTATTTGACAAATACATACCAGGTGAATAAAAAGTATGGAACGAAGCGTTTTTCTCGTAAACTAACCACTTTACAAAAAAAAAATAATTAGTGTAGCGTAAAGTCCAATTAAAATGTGACCATTTATCAAGAATAACATTTTTAGAATTTTTTTTTAGTTTTCGAGTTCTGGAAATTTTTTTTTTTTTTAAATGGCAACCCACTATGGTAATTTTTTTAATTAAAGATTATGATCTAAAAATGACCTCTAATTAAACAGAATTGTTTTCTAGTCAGTACTTTTTTTTTAATAAATTGTTAAAGTTGCGTTCCGAGCCCATCACGAAGATTTTCCGAACTTGAACGAGGGAGTCGTTTCATAACTTTGGTCGTTGGAGAGCCCGGTTTTTGGTGCAGGTGCTTTGGGGTGGTTCCGGATGGATCAAAAAATGTAAAAACAAATCATTTTCTTCTATTTTTAGTCCATTCGAAACCACCCCAAAGCACCTGCATAGAAATCAGCGCTCTCCCATGATGAAAAGCATGAAACAACCACTTCGGTTAAGTTCGGAAAATCTTCGTGATGAGCTCGGAACGCAACTTTAACAATTAATTAAAAAAAAAGTACTGGCTAAAAAACAATTTTATTTAATTAAAGGTCATTTTTAGATCATAATCTTTAATTAAAAAAATTATCATGGTGGGTTGCCATTTAAATTTTTTTTTTTTCTAAAACCCGAAAACTAAAAGAAATTTCGAAAAATGTTATTCTTGATAAATGGTCACATTTTAATTGGATTTTACGCTACACTAATTATTTTTTTTTTGTAAAGTGGTTAGTTTACGAGAAAAACGCTTCGTTCCATACTTTTTATTCACCTGGTATACACTGTGTCAATTTTAAAACTTGCAATCGGCAATTTCTCTCAAGTGATAATTAATGACTTTTTCATTAATTATCACTCAAAACCGTTTTGGTGGTTCCTAGAGGGAAATAAAATGACATGTTAAGTGACATACCTCCACCCACCCTTGAATATAATTAAAAAAATGAAAATTTAACGTCTTTGTTTTTGAATAATTGGAAAAATGGCTTTACCAAATAGGCTGTTGTATAACATTTTTGAAAAGTGCTTGTTATGGGCTACCTACTTTTGAAATTCACATTCCTCACAGTATTTTACATACCTACTTACCGTATTAGTTTTTCCTTGCTTTGGTAGATTGTTTAACTTTGATTTATCTTTAATGATATTTTTTTATTTTAATTGTAATTTAACATTCTTATTAATTAATATGGTTTAGATTGGGGATAATTAACATTACGTGTAGATAACTGTATTTTTAGAGTTTTATTTTTGAATTTATGTACTCTTCTTTAACATAACTATTTTTCTTGCTTTGATGTTTGCATCGCTTATTCTTATTCTGTTCTCAACGAGGAAATTTCAGAAAGTCGTCGTCTGTAGTTACTTCTTAAAGAGTCAATTCTTTGTAACAATGCGCTTCACTTCTCTTAAATATATATGTAGTTTAGAACGCTTATGATAGTCGCGTTTGAGTGAAATGATCCGAAACTACTCGCACTATTGTTTGTCTTTATGTGGGTTCTCTTCGGCAGTAAACTCAACCAAATTCAATTTAATATTAATTGGGAAAACAGGACATTGTTTTATTAGGCTGTAAAGAGGCACTTTAATGTTTGTATTGGAGACATCGAAAAAAATAACGTTCACTAGAATCCTAAATTACTAAATTTATTATGATAAATAATTTATTTTGGCACAGTTATTGTTTGGGGTCTTTGAAATTTATTCGCTTCATTCCAAATTAATTTTTAATGGTTTACAAATAATTCTTGTGAGAGAAATGTTTTAGTTATTTTTTCTAATTCAATTTAAGAAAGTACGAAGAGATAGCAGTGTAATGTTATTATCTCCCCTGTAGTTTATATCAAATTCTTACATTTATTAAGGATTCAACAAGCACGAAAACAAATAAAAATTTATGGTGGCACTCTTGAAACATTTAGATACTGTACGTTTTAAATTTACTGCAAAAGGGTGGCTTTATGCTCTTTATTGGTCTTGTACTTTACATATTAAGTTCTTTTTTCCAAACTTATTGGATCTATTGGGCGATTGGCGAAAATAAATGTGAATAATTGAGGACTGTAATATACTTCAGCGCTAAATCGACCCGTTTAACTTAAATGAATGAGTTTTGAGACCAAAAAGCTTAATTCAACCAAGCGATTTAATGATTATAGTTTATCGTGTTTAAAATGGAATTTTCGAAATACGGATTAGTTGTTTTGAAATGGCTCCTCGTATAAAATTATGATCATTGTTTGAAACAAATAAAACCGTCATTAGCAACTCGTGCCGTAATGTTTGGCCAATTAACCCGAATCAATCAACCCCCATTACAGCCCTCATCCAATTAGTTCCGCACTCACAGTTCTGGGGCAACTTGACGCTGTCAGAAAAAAGGAAAACTTGGCCTCGTCACACTCGCAGTTGTTTCAATTGACCATTTCTTATCGTTTCCAATTTCCTTTTTATGGCTTCTAGTTCCCTCTTCAAGTTTCACCTCACAATTAACTCGACGTTTAATACTCTACCAGTTCGAGAATCCGTAAGCTCTGTGATTTTAAAGTAACAACAAAGCGTACAGATTCTAAAACCGGAAGGGCACAAAGGGATAATTTAAGCGACTTTTTTACCAAAAGGATTGTTTTCTAACAAGTCGAGCTTTGTTGCGATTTGGGTATTTCGGGGGGAAATGATTCAAACTCTTTGTGGTGGTTTATGATGATTTATTTATAATAACATTTGTTGTCGTTACACAAATCGTTACAGCGTGATACACCAAGTGACATAGTTTGTACGAAAGCACTTACAAATGGTTCTAATTTTTTCTTGTTATATACAGTGTGCTTCTGAATCAGCAATTACATAAATCTTATTTTAAATAATCAACAAGTTCTTCGCATGTGCATGGTTTTTATTGCATAAATAAACGTTTACCGCGCCACGATATGGAATTATTTTGCATGAAATTATAATGGAAACCGGGAAATTGCGGGGGAAAACTCTGCATTCGTGGATCGTCTTATAATTAGAATTTGTGATTTTTTTAGAATATATAGATTGTTAATTATAATTAATCAATATTAAGCTTATCTATTACTTACGTTACAAATTTTATTAATTTCATTTTTTAGGTGAACTTTTTTTGACGAATATGTCATGTACTAGAATCCTAATTACGATATTTAATTTAACTGTAATAGTAAAACAACATTTATGGTAGCAGTTTTCAGTTTTCCCTTTTTTTTCTTTCTTTTGTGAAAGTTTCGTTTCAGGAAAACTGAAAAAAAATTTCGTGGATTAGTTTAAAAGTGCTGAGACTGGCCCCGATGCTGTTTGAAAAATTGATGTGTGATATTTTTGTACGATTCGTTTCGTCTTTTATGTACAGGAAGAATCTTGCGAATTGTTAAATGTTTCTCCATATATACAAGGCAAGTGTTTGTAAAATACATTTTTTGTTTTGATATTTTATTCCTCAAAGATAAATTACTAGGTTAACCTTTTTTAAGTTTGTATTCATATCTATTCTTTAATTGTCTTATTTAAAATAATATACAAACATTTTAGCACACAAATATTAATATCAATTGTATTATTTTTAATTAGAAAATTTGAACAAAACACTAAATCTAAATTACTACATTATTACACTATATTAAAATCAACTAAAATTTAAGGTTTGCAAAAAAATTGTATTTTTTAATTTCCTTTAATGTCTCTTAATTTATTGAATACAAATGTTTAGATTTTGAGAGGGTTGGTAAGATTTGCAATTTTTTTCAATTATAAATTTTTTGTCTCACCTAATATTATTTTAGCAGTTTTATTCTTTGGAAATATAAAAAATGTGTATTTAAGGCGGTTAAAATACAAAGAATGAAATTTCTGCAGATTACATCTTTGCATTTTGTATTTTATTATTCACACAATGTGGTTAATTTAATTTAACTTTGGTGGATGCGTCGGGATAGAAAATTAAAAACTAAATTCTTAATTCTTGTTATAACCTAACTTAGCATTTACAATATAACTAAATTTAGTATACTATGAAACCAATTTTGGCTTTTTGTTTTATCAAATTTTGTGATTTTTAAATATTGCCACGTTTACCCAATATTTTTTTATTTTATAATACATTTTAACAAGTCCCTTGTAGATATTGATGTTCACGTAAAAACAATTATTATATAAAAATCGAAACTTTTTAAGTGCGTTTTTTAGTTTTCAAATTTTAAACGTGAAAAAGTGCAAAAGAGTTCGATTTTTCACGTCATTGGAACCGAAACTTGATTGTCCTTCCGAAAGCATTTAACTTCTCCAAGACTCAGCCTGTCCACGTCCCGAGCCGAGACATTTCAGCATCCCAGGCCACGATTAACATCTCAATTTCGCGCGCGCGTGTCTATGTGATCCAATGAATCCGAAATGGAGAAAAAAACATTCTTATGAACGAGGAAGACTATAGAAAACGATTTAGAATATCATTCAGGAATGTGCTTATCTATATATGTTGAATCTTCGACCGTTTCTCAGTGGATCACAAGAGTTGTCAAGATTACCATCACCAATAAACTGGATGACTTCATGAAGGCCCCGTTGCAGCCGGGTTCTGTACAACAGAACGTCTTGGTGCCCCAGTTCTCTGCAAAAAAAGGATAAAACAATTATGTGACAGGTTTGATACGAAAAGTGTTTGTTCAGGAATTGGCTCGGTTTGCATGAACCGGTTGCCAACTTTTCAATTGATGTTTTACTACAGAGAATTATTTTTTACAAACTTGAAATAAAGTAGCAAAAGTTTTGTATTAAGTATTAAAAATTCCACGGACAGGAGCAAGATTTATCGAGCTTTACGTCGACTCGACTCATTGTATGTCTTGACAAGAATTTTCAAAGAAAACTTAACAATTGATACAAAATTTATTGCTTTTGGCCAACGCGACAGCCGTAATTATTAATATATCTGTTTACAGAGCGAATTTTATAACCCAATTACGAATTTAATTCTCTTGGAAAAACTTTCCATTGTTAAGTGGAGTTAAAACTCGTCCTCTTATCCTCGGAATTTATTTTTCCTTCGAACTCAGTAAATTTGTGTTCATCGATTTTACTCTAGACCATTTTAAAATGGTTCCTACTATTCCGACACGTACACTCTTAAAAAAAGGATAATAAATGCCCCCAAAATAAAGCACAGCTGTGTTTTATCGATGTGCAAAATAAAACTGCGTTTTGTCCGAAATAAAAGCGACGACGGAGACTCCTAAAATCCCGTATTTATGGTGTATTTGCACCTAATGTTGTTATTTTTAATGGGATCGCCTGGAGTTAATTAGGGGCGGTGAAGGCAGATGGACCGAATCTTTTTTATATTGATGCTCATTTAGAGCCCTAGATGTTGAGTCGAGAAGTGGTAAATGACTCTCGTTTCAAGAAACGGTAAAGCAAGGCGAAAACCGGAAGGGCACAAAGGGATGATTTAAATGAGGTTTTTCTTGAAAAGGGTTGTTTCCAAACAAGTAAGCTTTGTTTCGATTTGTGTATTTAGGGCGAAATATGAATCAGCTTTTGTAGCGGTTTCGTGATGATTTATTTATAATAACACCAATTTGGTGTAATTATACAAATTGTAACTGAGCATTTTGTGAAAATTTTATTTCGGCATAAAGCGAGGAAAATCTCATGCATCATTTTCTAATTATTTTAGAAAATGGCATTAAAAAACGCGTTGTTGATATTTTTGGTTCATTTGTTTTCTTTTTATACCTACTGTAAATATCCGAAAGGTAAAACTGCGTTTAAATTTAATAAACCGTAAGAAGAAAGCATAAGTTACGAGTTACATGCACTATCAAATATTTTGTTGCTTTTTTAAAGAAAATAGAGTCGATTTATAGAAAGCGAATTAAAACTATAATTTAAAATTAATGTAATTCGAATTATTTTTTCTTTTGCAAGTATTGCCAAGCGTTTTTTTTTAAATATAAGAGCTCTGTTAGTTTTTGTGTTTATTTTTTTGTCTTTCTGACACTTTAGTTTTTTAGTTAATTTTGTTTTTTTTTAATATACAGTAAAAAGTCAATGTGTTAAACTACTTTGAAAAGAATTCCTACGTCTTATCTTTATTTTTTAAACACTAGGCTTTTATGATTACCCACAATTTTTGCTACGTTTTAATATGAGGAATGTCTTTAAGTGTGTTAAACTGAAAGATATCTCGTATTTCAAATCATAAACAGTGACGACTTGCCCATTTTAAATATTGGGTGATTTTAATAGTTATTCAGAAATTTTATGCAGTGATTGTACAGTTAAAAAAATGTCAAAATAAGGCAACTTGCCTTATCGGAAAGTTTACAGTTTCTGAGGTACAGGGGGTGAAATTTGCATCTTAGCGTTGCAAAATTTTTCATAAGAATGTAATAAAAACATTACAAACTAAGTTTGCATCTTTTAAATGCTATATATTTTAAAGTATAGTTCGTGAGATTTAAGTTCATGAAATTCGATGGCATCCTATACGAAAAAATGTTTACCATTTTATTATTATTTTTTATATGAGGCTACTTTTTCTGTGTTTGTTTTTGCTAATTTTAACTCAATTTTTTAAAACAATGTAATAGATATTGAAGAACAAAACTCAGAGATCATATTTGTTGAAGTTTAAAACTGTTTAAAACAGAGCGCCAAATTTATATTTATTCAGCTACTGAAATCCTCAGAAAGTATAAACATTCGGATAAAGCAAGTTACATCGTTTGTCTTCTACTGTCATCTCTTAAAAATTTTGCACAACTATTGCATCACCCTGTATTGTTTGAGTATTCAAATCAAATCAAGATTTAACTTTTTATGTTCTTTCAAACATTAAATTCATATGGAAAAAAGTATTGATAGGGCATTTTCTGATTTAAGTATTTATGAACTTTCTAGAAAATATTTAGTATATCGTTTTATTAGAAGCAAAAGCGTCGTTTTTGTGACGGGTCTATATAGGGTTTGACAGTCGAGCACAGGGAGGCCGGCAACTAGTGCGCAAGCCACAAAAATCACTGTTACTCTAAATGAAAACATACAAATATACATTTTTTTTTAAACTTGCCAATTAATTATAATTTCTTCTTATGGCTGTTTATTTATTATTAGCAAACAAGCTGCATTGCTAAATATGTCTTGAAATGATATTGTCACTATGAGAATAATATTTATTATCGTACCTCATTGCATATTTTAAGTAAAATTTTATGGTATCAATTATGTATCAATACTTAAAATAATGTGGTTTTTATTTTTTTGTAAGTATTTGTCAATATTTTTTTTGTTTTCTCATTAAAATTGAATTTATTTTACAAATCACATATAATAAAGAAATAATTCAAAATTTAACAGGCTGAGATTTGTAAACTATAAAACTCGTGTTGTCTTCAAGATTGTTTGCAACACTAATATTGAATCAGAAGTATGTCAAAATTGACGAAAAACACGACGTACTTTATAGATAAAGTGTATTTTAACATCAACATAAGAGGTAAGCTTACACGCACCATAGAGACAGTGTAAAGTATTAGTGTTGCAAAAAAAGTGTTTTTTTTCAGTCTTATTAGTGGATGCGCAAATATCTGTAAATACTCTGTAAATCTGCTGTTATGTCATATGCATATTTACAGTCTTATTTCGTGAAAATAACATTTATTTCATGAAAAGAAACATTATGAAATGAATATGAGATCTGTTTTTTTTTTTTTTTTAATTAATGTGTACTAATGCGTCATCTGGATTTGTCATATGTATATTACATATTTATGCCCACAAATTTATTGCATTACACCGCTAAATGGTGCACACATATATCATTTTAATCTCTTTATTGCTTATACTACAGGAACTATAATGAGAATGCTCAAATTTGTGTTTTGTCATAGCTAGTTTTTATTTTTTGTTTTCATTATTTCTGTGGTTTCGTTTTCCAACATTGGTTTTACTCTACAAAAACAATGTTATTTTATATAATTGCAATAATAATGTATGAAAAGCAAGCTTTTTATTTTAATGGTGACTTGACATTTTTTTTAGCTCTTATAGGAAATTGTTGTATTTTAATTAATTGGCGACTAAATTCGCTTGTGTCTAATTTGCTACAGAAAAATGGTGGATGCGCCGGGCCAAAGGTGTCCCCATTTGTCCCTTTCTCAATCATTTTATAATTAATCGTCCGTCTAAAACCTCCCAAGAAGCTACCCCGTATCCACCTTGATTAATGGCCGTAGCTAAATCGCAACATCCCGTTTTCTTGCGACAGCTCGGGACAATATCATTTCAGCGAATGTGCGCCATTTTGGCCCGACTCGTCCTCGTCTAATTTAATTTTTTTTATGGGTTTGTTTAAATTTTTGCCCTTGTGGTCGTCCAGCAGCCGTCATTGATGAATGACTTAATTAGTGTATCCGAATACGAGTGATGAAGGTGGCCAGATTTGACGTTGAATAATGCGACCTCGCCGGAACTCATCTGGGCCTTTGAGGCCTAATAACCCACTGAAGAGAGACAGGTGGGCCTGTTTACGTGACGAAATTTTTGATTTTGGGATCGTGACAAAGGATGATTAATCCGCGACTCTTATTTCTCACGTAGATGGCTAATTTTATAATTAATGGGGGAAGTTGGGCGTTTCGTTCGGTTTGTCGAATGCGGAATTAATGCAAGTAAAAGTCTTATCTTATTTTCGCCGAAGTTTCGACTTTTAGCAGCTGAAAGGGATGTTTGCGAAAGGATCTCGCGATTTTATCGGTGTCTTTTTGCACTAGCTTTTTCAATATTGTGACAGAAGTTGATATACATTCATGAAACTTTCTGTGGTTTTAAAGGCGTTCTTATTGTTAGAATGGACAAGAAATTGAGACAAAAATCTTTGAAAAGAGATTTGTACAGATTTGGTTTTTGAATCGTATTATATGACTTTGTCATTTCAAAATGTATTAAAACTGAAAAAATAGAAAACACGAATCTTACAGTAAAAATAGAAAAAGAAAGACTTTACGACAGAAAAACTACTACAAACAGTTTTGAAGTGAAATAAAGTCAAGCAGTAAGTTCTACAGAAATTTGGGGTAATCATATTAATTATCATGTGAGAGTTGTTTTGATAGGGTTCAGAATTTAGTAGGTCTTGGTTTTAGGAAACTAATTGATAACAGGAAAACAAGAAGAAAAACAAGAAAAATGTTTATTGGGAGTAAAGGATGTTATTTTTTATGACTAGAAAAGTATCTGAAGTTTTTTCAAATCTAAAAACCTTGGAAATTGATCTCTAGATTTTAGCGAGTTAACGTGGGAGAGTTTTAAATTATTTTATTTTACTCAAAATTATTATTACACTTATTTTATTATTATAACTTCACTTTTACAATTATTTCACTAACTTCACAATTAATTTATTTTTACAATATATTCAGACATATTGAAACTTGAACTTGACTTATATTCAGACTAAAATGCGTATTTCCTATCCTGAATTTATAATATAAATTAATGCAACGGTTCCAAGGTTTTTGATGATGGTAAAGCGCGCGATGTTTACGTTTCCTTATGGAAGCTTCCTGATCATAGGCACGTGGATGGAGATAACATAACAAGCAAAATTAT